CCAATTTTCATATTTAGAAGTATTTCATGGTGATCTTTTATGCTATGTGGTTAATATTCAATAATTCTAGAAATAGGTTTTGGTGACGTCACACTTTAGAACTCCATGCTGGATTTAGAAGGCCAAAGTCATTAGATTTAAAAGGCCTTACAATTTTTGATAGCAAAAATAATTTTTGAATAGGAATTTATAGTTGCCATTTTGCATTCTATCTTTGTGCATTGTTGAGTCCCTCATTTTATTCTTAAAATCTACTTGCTGAAAGTATGTATTTGTTTGTCGTCCGTGAAGCAGCTCTACTTCCGTGGTCTCTTCATTTTATAAGAATTTGTTAAGGTTCTGTCATGGCCTACGCGCTGCAAAAATGCATTCAAGTTGTGTCAATCAACAATAGGTAGGAACAATGCCAAACAACAAGGAGCAATCTAACGTAAAATAATGTGACATGATAAGCTAAGTTAAGCTAAGTTTCAAAAGGTTGTCTAATTCACCCGGAGAGGCCGGCAGGGTTTTCGCTTGCCATTTCTTAAAACAAATTGCAATCGAGGCTGGCAACCTCGGAGTCATATTGGTCCAGTTGGGGTCATTTCGGCCTGGGAGTCATATTGGTCTGGAACAGAATGAATCCATTTTTGATTTTACGTTCTCACTAGTACACTTGAAAATGGAATCATTCGATACCAAACCAGAATCATTCGAAGACGCTGTTCAAAGTGGATTCCTTCAAAAACGTAGTCAATTAAAAACGCAGTCAATTAAAAACGCATTGTTTTAATGAGCGAAAGCGGAGTCGCTCGAATACGGATTCATTCATTCACAGTATCAAAATAAGCACGAACATCTATATCATTGAATATAATTGATTGATACGAAAACATCGTTTCGAGGGGCTTGTGAAATGTCACTTGATTAATACAGTTATGTTAAGCTTGCCAGCCATTGCTTTGATACTGGTTTGCAAATCATTAAGATATCATAGTGGATTATTTTAAGTCCGGTCATGCCCTATCTTGGAATAACAGGTATTCCAGATACTGTTTATGGTCTTTTAGAGGGTGATCACCAAGGAACAAAGCCATGCCGAAGTAAGCGCATTAAAGGTGTGGCCATTATGAGTCTGATTTGAAAGTTCTGGTTGTCAGAAATCAAGCCTGAAAAGAACCAACGAAGAAAGACATCTTTATTGGAAAAATGACACACAGTTTGAGTTTCAGAGGTGACATGGGGGCAAAGTGCCCCCCGTATTCCTTTCTGGAATTATTGCCTTATGTCGGTTGAATATTCAATTTTGAAGATTTTCAATTCATATAAAGTCGGAAAAGGATTTCAATTCTTCAATCAGTCACTAAAAATTTTCTTTGGCTAACTCTGACGAAGCCCCATTTGCCGAGGCGAAATAATGTTTGAATTATACTCTATTTCACATTTTTCGGTTTTCCAAATAAAAGTTAATTCAAACTGCTTCTTGTGGTTTTGCATTGTTTCTGCTTGTCGTTTTTTCAAACATAATTAGGCCCTATTAAGAAATATGTTACCTTTTTACAGCATGCAAATTCCCTTCTCTAGCATCTCCATACCACCCTTAAACTGGGCAAACCAATTTATCGAAATTGTTGCTTCGCCTCCCCCCCCCCCCTTCTATGGAACTTGACCACGGAGTCCCACAGTCTAATATTGAACAATTCAATGGGACTTCCGAAAGGCCAAATTTATTTTTGCCTCACCATTTTAGGAGAAAACATAAGATTTTCCATACAGAATTTGATATTTTCATAGTGACGAAGATTTAATACTTAAGAGAAAGCTGAAAGGATGGGCCGGGAAGAGACAAAGAAGTCTACACCCTAGGGCAAAAAATGCCCTCTACGATAACTATGTGAGTGTCATTTTAAAAGCCACAAACATATCGGATCTGCATGCTTCAGTTTTCGTTAATCTTATCTTTATTCTTTTGAAGGAGGTAGATGAAAGGTCAATGAAATTTTTAACCTGGTAGGCGAACTTGGTCTAAAATGAAAGTTTCAACTACTGAAATGATTTTGGAGCTTTCTTAAACGTCCATTCACAGTGGAAATTGGACTTAAACGTTGAGATAAAGTGGAATCTAAGGACAAAACCTTCTACAGAATGTGGTTGCAAAATTAATCAACTAATTATGAGGCCTTGTATAATTTCATAAAAGTTTCACAGAATTCTTGAAAATATGATCATTTGTTACATTTTTAAACCCGTCTATAGTTGTTACATCAAAACATAAAATTTGAAATGAAAATGAGTGGAGAAACTCATTATACCGTAATCACTTTTGCGGAACATGATTTTATGTCGATTTTCTCTTTAAAAAATTAAAGCAAGTAGAATTGAATCTTACATCAGTCCACTTTCGTCTGAACCACAGCAGAAGCTTAACATTATAAAGCTGAGGAAGAAAAGTTATGGCCTTTTTCGGTCACCAGAATAATTTCCAAATTTTTCACGGATACAGGCTGTTTTAGTAACATTTTTAGGAGTCAGCATATTTTTGAAAAGTTTGAGAATTATTTCACACAAAACATCTTAGAATGCAAAAAACTATAGGCAATCCTTTTTACAAAGGGTATTGGCCTCTCTATTTCAATAGTAAGACCTCCAGTGTGTTCAACTGCCTGGCTGTGTAGCTGTGTACTATCGCAGATCTTGCCATGCATCTTCCGACTAAGTACGTCGTTGAAACACACCTGAAGGAAAGGGCGTAAGAAAGGAAAGTTTGAACCTGTGGTGTGTGATCCAGTGACGCTGGAAGAGCTGCAAAACAGAGGGCAAAGCGCCGAGAAAAAGGAAGGAACAATAGCAAAATAAAGAAATTTCAAAATTTGTTAGGGCAAGGAGACAAACGCCAATGTGAACCCCCGTGCTCCAGCATCCCTGTCCCAGTGTCTACCTTCAAAAGAGGCTAATTGGCGGGGGACGTACAGTTTAGCTCATCATAGGCTTTCCTTGCCTGGAGAAGAAAGAATTTACAGATGCTTATGCGGAGCTCAGGTAATGCTGACGCTATGCTGACTATACGCTGAGGTTACGCTGATGTTTTGCTAAACTTATGCTGACTCTAGGTTTAGTGGGGAGAACTAATGGCTGGAAAAGATCTAAAACACGTATTTTATGACGTAAAGAAGAAGACGAAAATAAACCATATTATAGCCGCAATTTGTATGTTTAATATCTTATATTGCTTGTACGCAAGACCTGATACGGAAAATTTTAATACGATTCCACCTTCCACGGACGCTGCCCATGTCGGCCACAGATCTGTCTACTAAAACATGGAACCATTCAAGATACTGAATGAAGAAGCAAAGCTATTAGAATTATCAAATGAAACTTGTAAAAATGATGACTCTGAAAATTGTCATTTATCGATCAAAAATACTTAAACCACTAGTTAAAGTCTTCAAAGTAGAAAAACGCTGGGGCAGCAAAACCTACATTATCTTGTCTGGCAGTTACATAAAAATCACAATGTTGTATTTGGGCAACTGCAATGACAGGATATGATTCGATATGCCTCGGAATTTTGCCTCAGAGATTCAGTATTTTAGCAAAGAAGTTGGAAAGGAAAAGCTGCTCAAACAAAAGAATTGGAAAATTACAGCATTTGCCCGATCATTCTAAAAAATTATTTCCTTCAAAGATTCTAGTGGTAAATGCACAGATTATTTCTAGAGAAGACTCTGGCCTTGCATACAAATGGTTCCCTACAGACGAATCCTCGTCCCTGTTAAAAATTGCCACAGAAACATATGATTGGCTAGGTGAATGAACCACTCATCGTGCTATTGATTTCCCATGAATGAGCAATTTCTATTAGCTTTTAAGAGTCAGTGAATAATTTGAGTGATTTCTTATACAAAACAGAGAGTCTCTAACACAAATGCAAATATACAGTGTCAGCATGGGTGTGGTCTTGGGTGGGGCTTCTAAAGCACAGCCCCCCTTCCATTTTAGGACAGCACCCCTGCTTTAGATGCCACAGAAATATATGATGCTTAGATGCTATTAGTTAGAAACTTGATAGCAACCACTTAGATTTCCTTCCCTCTCATTGTTTGTTTGAGATTGCTCTTTTTCAGAGGGCAAGGACGTGGGATGGTGCAACATAAGACTGTGGTGAGTTGGAGTTAAGTGTTGCGGAGGCAAGCAGGTGCTCCAAAGGTTACCAGCTCATATATTCAAAAGTGACAAGAAAAGGCACATTGATCGTGGGATGTACGAAAAGAACGTCACAGGATTTTTCATGGTCAACAGCAGAGATAAGAATTGTCCCTCAATCAAATTAACCAACAAGGTAGAAGATTAAATGGATCTGAAAAGGAGGAACCATTTTGTGGACAATGATTTAAAACGTACAAATGACCTCACAACTAGAATAATACACATACAAAAATATACCGTGTACGAGACAATACGAAGAAAAATATCATTTACGTATACGACCGCAGGGTTGCGAACAAACGGAACCATTATGCGTACAACCAATTCAGACCCATATTCACCACAATAATAGTGGTCTTATCAGCAATCTTTCAGTAATATCATTTGCCATTTAAGACTATTAACATGAGGCTATTTCAAGTCCTACATACCGTTTAAAAGTCGCGAATCGAGTTCCATTTTTCTCAAATCAGCAGTGAATTTAGGTGGCCGCCGGGCCGTGGTTGGCAGAAACGGCTCGCATCACTAAGCCCTGAATTAACCTGTGGGCTCCTTTACACTCCTGTTATCCTTAATCAAACATATCCTCCTTTTGTTGCGCACTGACGCAGTGGTTAGTTTTCACATATATTTAAAGAGGACACTGCAAAACATCATTTGTCGCCAATAGGAGAATGCTACACCCCATTATCGTTCTTTGGGAGAAACTCTCGTCCTAAGATTCTTTAAGACACCTGGGGAAGACACTTTGTAGATCTTGGTACATTGTGCGGTTTGGTAAAGAAACATTTGCTGGAGATTAAATAGAAATGGAAGATACCTTGGCAAATGAGGATGCGGATTATGCTGCCTACATTACTAGCCAGAGATATTTACAACGGCGTCAGACTGTGCCCGCCACTCTGAAAATGGGCAACAATCAGGCGGAAAATAAATCGATCGCTGAATCGTTGAAGAAGATATGGAAGGACTGTTTCTCAAAAAAAGATCAAACTAAAAAAGAGGCGAAGAAGCTGGAAAAAGAAAACGAACATTCTCACGACTCACCGCGAGCATTGGCAAAGCGGATGAAAATACGACAGTCATCAGCATCTGAGGAAGACATACTCCATTTTGCTGTCTCTAGAGACGATATCAAAGCAGCGAAAAATATTCTTGAGAATGGCAAAGTCGAAATCAACGCGATGCGCCCACCAGGCGTATCACCACTACACCAGGCGTGTGCCACGGGAAGTTTAGAATGCATAGATCTGCTTCTACGCCACGGTGCCTCAGTCGAACTGAAAACATGGCAAGGGCAATCGGCGTTGCAGGTGGCGGCGAGGTATGGGCATTTCGAGGTGGCGGAGCTACTATTGCAAAACGGTGCAAATATGGACGACATCAAAGATGGGTTTTGAGATAGGTTTTCTTTGTTTATCTTTTGAAAGCTTAACGTGTGTACATGGAGTAATAAAGAATAATCGCCGGCTCAAATAAGGATAACGTAAAATTTGGATGCTTAGAGTCAAATGTGTTTTTTGATCACCAAGTTTGACATGAAGTTTGTTTGTATTATATGTTTTATGGAAAAAATCAAAAAGGTTTGCGTTGTTACGAATATGAATTGGAAGAACAAGGACAAATTTATGATTCTCAGTAAATAGATGCCACGACAGAACAGTTCAAAGGGCGCGGGGACATTTTTTATTAATCAAGTCTGTCAGATGTGGGATGACAGTTAGATACAGTGTTACCGGTTTTAATGCATTAAATACTGTGTAATACAAGTAATGTTTCCGCTGGCAGTTGTGCATAACCGCATATGTTCCGTAACGCATTTCCCTGCATTCGAATCGATTCACGTCAACTTGATTGTCAAAGGGAGACTTTACCTCGATTTGATTCCCTTTTCCAATGTAGCTTATTCAATGCGAACTAAAAATAACCCCGCAAACACTGAGTCATTCCCATGGCTACAAGCGGTAATTCTGTTCTTTCAATTCAAACGATGTACAAATACTGATTCGTATAAATAGAGCTAAGTCCGGAGGCATTGAGATAACAGCAAGAATTAATTTTTATCCGTCTTTATGTCAAATCAGCCAATCGTTTTTATCAATGCCTGTATGAAGAGATTAAGTTGTTTCCCACAATTTTATCATATAAGACTACTACTGCATGCAGCTTTGTCATTAATAAATTTCTTTAAAAACGTTTACCCCCATGAAGTACAAAACCATATCTTTCTTCTATTCACGCTAGAAGTTTTTATTTGAAGGCTGATTTTCTTTTTGAATACGTTTAAAGTGGCCAGAGATTTCTTTACATCAATGTCACAAAGAATCGGGAATTTTATCAAATTCCCCATACTATACTAGATTCGTAGAAAAGCTGTACAAAAACCCTATAATGAAGGAGAACATATTTAGGCCCACTTAGAGGGGTTTGGGAAGACTGCCCCTGGGCGCCGAGCTGAGAGGGGCACAGAAAAGCTTTTACAAAGCTCCTAACAATAACAAAAACATTAAAAAAATCATAGTTTTAATGACGTCATCACCGACCGCATCTTCCTCTTCCCCAAGGCCTCAGATGAGCTCTCGGCGAGCCTAAACATACCATTGACAACCTGCTTTATGTTAGTAAAGATAAGCAAAAACTAAAGTTTTTTGGACTTTAATCAACTCTTTCCTGGGCGAATCAAGTTCAAAATCACACGACTCGATCCTTATTAGTTCTAATGACATCATGCAGGGAAAATAGATAAAGTATTATATTTGTAAACTTGTATTTCATTATCTTTATATTATATCTAGAAATTTGGAAAGGAAATATATTGAATCAAGAGTTAAATCTTTTGTCTGATTGCATCCTGTCTATCTTTTCCCAAGTTCATGATGATAAATGCTAGCAATATATTTTGTCTACAATAACAAACTTCATACCGAATAATATATAAGAAGTTAAATATATTTTTATAATGAATAGTTCCATTTTTGCAAACGAAACTATGATCGATTTGCCAAGATTGAGGGTCTCCCAGGCGGTTACTTGTTCCCGTGTTCCTTTTGAAAAAAAACAACCAATGTTTTCGTGTTTCCAGTGAAAAATGAAAAATGTTCCCTTTTTTGCTGAAACTAGTAATGATGTTCCCATGTTCCCAGTGGAAAATTTAAGCTGTTCCTGTGTTTCTGTACCATTTCTTGCCATGTTTCCTTGTTCCCGAAAACCCCCGGGAGACTCTCAAATCTGTTTACGAAGCTCTCTAAAATCGAAAGGTCAACCAAACATAAGCTCTTTTTCAGACATTTTACTATGACTCGAAATTCCTAACTTTGTTATCATTTCAAAGATTTGCCAAATAATGCCATATTATCCCAAGTCTTGTGAATTAAACCAACGATCTCTTCGTACCAACAGTGATCGTGTTTTAACAAAGCTTGCGAAAACATTGGACAAACCTCCGAGAAGGCACGTTGACTTTTGCATTCAAGGAAAAGTCACAAGTCGAGCATCCAAAACAGAACTACTCCTCCGCAAGAGAGGGTTCCAGTCAGCAAAGGCATTGTTCAAAGCGGTGCTATTTGCACGCGCATATTCTGATTGTTTTTAGAAAATCTTTAAAAACAACAGCATTTTCTGAGAGAAGCTTGTTTCAAACACAAAAAAAACTACCGACAGTTTGATATTTACAAACAGTATGGTTTCAGGAGTCGATTGTTGGCGCCAATTTCCGATTTCCACTTTGTTTGGGGGTGTTGCCTATGACACTGGGTCATTGGACGAATTCCAGTAGAGTTTTTAATTCCGACAAGCTGCTGGCGTTGTCAACTTTTTTTAAGATCGTTACACATTTGCTAAAACTAAAACAAAGTCTTTTTATACAAATACTTTAAATTCTTTCCAGCATCTTCTTAAGAAATTATCTTTGAGGCTGATCATATTCTTTAAGTACACGCTTTTTTAAGAATTCCTATTATATTTGCTGAGCCTCAATATTCTTATGTCTTTTTTATTTTAAGATTAAGTTTATTCTTAAATTTTTCTTAGGGTTGCATTATAGTGTCAGTGTCTCCAAGGCCAGATACGTGTATTTCAAGACATAAGCGAGAAACTCGCATTTGTTTTGTTTTTCAATGAACTCAAATAAGCAAGAAACGTTATTCTTGGATAAGCTTGAGCCTCGCATTATTTTTAGATTATTCTTAAATTTCAGTGATTTGGAGCCTCAATATTCTTATAGACTATATTCATACAAAAAAATTTGTATCCTTTTTTTCAAATCTGATTTGGCGTCGGGGTAACATAGTTCTTATGCCATTATGAGGAAATGGTCAAACGGAAGAAAAATTAAACTATTTTAACAGCAAGGATGTTCTTAACATTCATGAAGTTTTAAACAATAACAAAATGTTTTATAACCAAAATATGCGAGAGACAATATGCAAGCCGAGGCTGAGCAATGAACTTTAAAAAAACTCACCCAACTTCTTTTAGAGACACTTCTTTAACCCTGAAACGGGCCTATGCCTAACTTTCCTAATTTTAAAAACTGGTTAATGAAAAGAAAAACAAAAAAGCTGCAATTATCGCAGCAAACTAGTCCCTTGTTTGAAAGAACTTATATACGTAAAAGGAAATATCAAACAGGTTTTGTATGTAACATAAAGGAGAAAACAGTTATGTATTTATTGTGGTGGGATTCTGGTGCTTCTAATTTATGAAAAATAACGAAATTCCTGCTGTATATTGAGAAGGCATTGGCACATTCGCATGTTCAGTCATTTCAAATAATACAATGAACGACTTAGAAGAAAAACCAAGCCGTTGTCTCTAACGAAAGCATCCGGATTTTTATTATTAATTTGTTTCGATCAATTTCTAAAACATAGCTTGTCTTCAGCCGAGACGTACAAGGCAATGCGTGTGTTCCTTTGAAAACAGAAGGTCTGCGTCGTTAAAAGGCGACCACCGGCCTTTTACTTCAGGATGGTTTTAATTGGTGTTTGTTAATATTTCTAATCGATCCAATTTACTTTATCAAAGTTAGACCACTCAATGAAAATCTTATACAGTTGCTGATACACAAAGCCATTTGCTAAAACACCACATGACTGATAAGGTATGGCGCATCAAAGGTGACGTCATACGGATAGCGGCTACCAGCCCTTTCTCGCAGTTTGGTGAACGAAACTGAGGCCAAAATGATTCATACATTCAGAATTGAATGCCCTATACATGAATTATCTGGAAATAGAACATCGCTTTAGGTAGATGCGATTTAAAAAGCAAACTCGGTTAAGCCTTTGTGAAAACCAACTCTCACTACGCTTTAGAAAGCAAACCATACGTAATAATTTTTTCCGTTTTATACTTTGCTTTGGTCTTATGACATCAGAGCAAGGAACAATTTTGATACAAAGAGCAAGGAACTGTTGTTGAAAATATCAAATGAATGGGTTAGCAACGATAAATGAGGCTAAACGAATGATTCTATTCAATATTAGATGTCTTGTACACTCTTTTTTATAAGAATGCTATGAATCTTTTCCAGCTTGACATTCATAAGAAATTTTCATTAAAGCCTGAATATTTTCTTAAAGTATTCTGATTTTTTTCAAATCAAATATGGTTTTAGAGGAACATCACCTACACTTGAACAAAAACCACGCTTCTTGAAAAACGATGTATGTCAGTTTTGCGATTCCCTTTTATGAATATCGCACAACAGGCAACTGCTGAAAAATGAGACACAAATATGCAAGTTGAGGCTGAGCAATGTTTTTAATAATCTTAAAAGTTGGATGAGTCTTAATTCTTATAATTCTTATAAAAAGAGTGTTTAAGCAAGTGGTGAAAGAAAGAGAGATTCCATCAGGAGAGAATTAAAGCAAATGTGTGAAGAAATCCAAGTCTAACAAGGCCAGATGGCCTTTGTGGGGTCCTTGCAGGGCCAAACGCTCTCCAGTTTAAACTATGCACTTTTTCATGTGGGAAACTTGAAGTAAGGCACTGACTGTCGTAACCATCATCATAATTTTTACCGAAGTACCTTATCTTCAGACAAAATTTGGTACGTTTTTACATTTGAAAAAATTTATTTGAACTTGAAACATATCGTTGACTCTACTTGTAAATACAGACCTAAACCAAGGTGCGGTCAAATTAGAAAAGGCCCGACAGTTTTTGGGAGTTATTCTACTCGCAGGAGCATAAGTGTACAATGCCTGCCAAAAGTACTTGGAACACCCAGCAATTTACGCTGCATTTGATATCTCTCATTCCTTTCATGAAAAAAATTGCTACTTCCGCACTTCCCCCTAAAACAATGTTGATGGTTTAGAGAAATATCATAAAAGAAGCACAAAAGAAAGTGCTTCCTAAAATCCTAACCCGTTTGATAGTAAACCAACATTGTTTTGTAGGGGAAAGGGGGATGATTGATTTTGGCCTTGGAAATTGATGTCAGTGTTCCAAGACTTTTGGCAGGCATTGTAGGCTGTTTCCAGGAAAATGACGCAAACGATGACATCATACAAGCTATTACAATAAGAGGATGCAGCACAGAGGATAAATCGTAGGATGCGTCGAGAATCAACATGATTCAAGAAATACACTGTTCAGTAGACAGCGGTGCTATTTTAGAAACTACATATGCAAAAGACAAAGGAGAAAGCAACAAAAAATGAGAGACAGTTTAACCCAATAAAGTATTTATTCAAAGTTTTATCATGCTCGAGCTACGCTTCCTTCTATGTGTAAAAAATAAACAAATGTTCAGTTCCAACGTCTTTTTTAGCTTTAAAGCACTTGACTATGCCACTGCACTTCACCTTGTGAATGTGCGAAGATGTCGGTTAAATCCGTCACGATCGTTGCCTTGGTTTTGGCGGTAACCAGCAAACGCGCCACCGGCGAAGAAACGGCTAGAAATAATAATAAAAATGAAATTAGGTTGTTAAATTAACAAAAACAAAAAATTGGACTTTGTGCATATAAATATTGCTTACTTTCTTCAACTTGGGACAAAAATATGTGTATCGACGGCTAGTGTAAATCCCAGTAGGATTTTTAGTATCATTTGCCTTGTAACGGGCACTTTTGGAATAAACCTTTAGGGAATGGGCAAAACTAATGCAAGTGAAAAATCAAGTTTAATTCTGCGACCAAATAGCTGAGAAAATCAGTATCAATTAGGAACAGGTTGGGGTCTTTTATGATTAAGTACTGGTGTTTTGATGGAGATCAGGCCCGACTCGTTTCTCGTATACATTAGGCTTCGTGGAAACGAATCCACATGCATTAATGACGTCGAACGGCAAATTATCTACTGTGAACTGGGATACAACGATTCATTCGACGGGGTAGGGTACATACCATTTCACTATAAATCAGCATAGGAGCTTCTGTGACTGCTGGTATTACTCCTTGGCCAAAAATGCATCAGCCTTAGATTATGTAATATAACTTTGGTTGAGTACAGTAGATCACTCCGTAACCCACTCTAAGTAACGGCACGAGTATCCTTCGAATTTGGTTACTTGATGTCAACGATCTATGTGTGCCTTGGTTATTCTATTCTGTGCACTTTTGAACATATTTGTCCCTTCCGTTCCATTCCGTGAAATCTTCAGCCAGATCTTGCAGGCGAACGGACTCGGGGAACTGCTTAGTGAAAACCAGTCGCTAGGATCCCGCGAGAAAGTCACAAAGCAAACAATTTACAGCTTAAGACTGATGTATTGCCCGAGATGCCTAGAACAGCGTTTTGCAAACCGTAAGCAATCCGCAAGTAGGGGGACTGTTAAAGAGGGTATCTAGGCCGGCTATGATGACGTGAAATGGCTGGCTAATTCTCTCGCGTAGGGGACTGCTTAATTCAACTGAAACATAGAACCCAGGACTGAAAAACAAAAAGCCTGAAATCCAGAGCCATATATTATTTTCTGCTTTGCGATCTGCTGACACTAAATAAACACTTACCTATTGTCTTCTTTTGGCTTCGGCCCGGCCCAGTAACCCCCTCTGAAACTGCTCCGTGGATACGTTGATTGCGATTCGCGGGGTGCTGGGGAAAAGAGAAAGTTGCCTTAAACGACCCAACTCTAAAATAATCCCAAAACTCTCCCCATATTTCTTTATTCGGTTATCAAAACTATAAAAAAGCACATAGCAGTACCTATATTATTGGTTATAAAAAATATTTTACGATATTTACTTTTAAAAACAAAACTCTATGCAATCGTTATCTCATTGATTACTAATTACAAACTACTGTTACTTCAGAATGTGCGTTTTGAACAGGCATAAACGTCCACTATGCTAAACATTATGATGTTAAACAAATGGATTTTTAATGCTTTATTTGAATAGGATAAGGATGACGCTAAAAAACACGCACAACACAATTGAATATAATTATAACAAAAAAAGAACCGAATCAAAGATAACATATATTATATGAGAGGGTTTCGGGGTAGGTGCATGAAATGAAAATTTTGAGAAATCCAATATCAAACCCTGAGCAAACATCAAGGTATTTTTTCTCTAGTTGTTGCTACGCAGTTTCCAGATTTAGACTTTTTCATTCCAGCATTGCTCAACACAATGCAAAATGAATGGATCAGATTTGATTGTTAGAATGATTTAATATTTCCTGTCATCTTTATTCAAGGTTTATCTTTCTAGAGGCTCAAGTACAGAACAAAGTGAAAGCCTCAAGGGAAATCATTCTTACCTCTGTACGGTGATGCTATCTGTGGACTCCAACTGGACCTAAAGAAAACAAATTGCATTAAAAGTTGATAATTTGTATTTGTTTCAACCTAGCATCCAAAGGTAGTTTTTAGGACACTGAGAAGCTATGCTTATCGAGCAGTGTCCTGGTCCTTCCTCTCGATGTGACCACACCTCGTGATTCCTACGCCTGGAATTACAGAGACCTGGCGACTCTCCCCACTCTGGGTGAAAGTTTGTTCATGCCAGGGACTCGAGCCACGGACCCAAAAGCGGCGCCACGGGGGGACTGGGGGGGGGCAAGTTCTCGGCAGGATCAATTTTGTATTTCGTCTAAATCCAATGAGAAAATGTTAGGGGAGGGGTAATATTTTGGCAACGTACTTTTTTGATGTCATCCTTTGATTTTCAAACTGCCTTTACATAGCCAACAGTTAGTTATGGACGTTCCTTTTAGGCAAAATTGGCTTTCCTTGTTTGTAAAAGGGCTTTTTCTAGTGCTAAAAGGGCGTGGCCAATTTTTTTGTTTTGTCCCCCCAGAGCGTATTGGCTGGCGCCGCCAGTGCACGGACCCTTGGGTCTGTAGTCAGCGCCTCTAACAACTGAGCCATCCTCGCACCTATAATGCTAAACATATAAGGGGAAGCTTCATTGATTTTGACACAGGATAACGATTAATGTATAATAAGGTAGTCGAAGAAATTTAATATCAATACCGGAGCAATATCAGTACCAGAGCAACAACACTTCAAGTTTACTAATCCTAGAGATTTTGCAAGTTTTTCGTAATTAACGTAAACGGAAGTCGAATGTATCAAAAATTGAAATCTTGTTTGGTGAAATTTAATGCGGCCCAAAAAAGTTTACTGCCGGGAGAGAAAAGGCAGAGTTTGTACAAAAAAGTCCAGAATAATTTGGGCTTTTCCAAATCAACGGTCATACATGTCATGTTCCTAAAGGAGCAATTTCAGTCATAACTATTAAAGACTAACCCTCCACGTTGAAATCCACCTCCTCGACTGTACTGGGGCGTAAATCCAGCCTGGCCTCCCCATGTACCGAATCCTCCTCTGTTAACTTGTGGGTGTTCACCTGCAAAAATATTATTGCAAATAAGATCTCAGTCCTAAGGAGAATATATGACGATGATTACGTTTTGGAGTAGCTATAATAGCAAGAATCTTGGGATTAAAGACAGTCGACAGATACTAAAAAGGCTTTAACAATCTGTCAATCGAGAATTAACCAATTGGTGAGTGTGATTCCACTCACACGCTTATTGATTGGCTACTTTTGTTGACATATGACTTAAGCCACGCTTGCATCTGTAGATTGCCTTTAAGATAACTAACGTCTTAAGCTATTTTGTGCTATAAATTCTCTTCTAATGTTAACTATGTTAAAATCCTCAAATAAGATTCCCTCATAACAGTATAAGCAACCAACATCGCACAACACCGCAACCAATAAAACAGCCTCACTCACCCTCCCTCCTAAAAGAGGCTGTCGCGGGAGATGCCCATCGACCTTGGGAGTCGCTGAATCCTCCAGTGAAACGGGGTTCGCTTGATGCTGTCCTTACTGGTGCAGCAAATGAGCTCTGTTTCGAAACAAAATAAAAATTCAGTTTAATACAAAACAATGCACAAATTGTCATACTAAAAGGCACCAATTGTAGCACCGAGTAGCGTCGATTGAATATTTATGAACTGGCCATGAGTAAATTTATTTCGAAGTGAAAGTTTGCCTCTACACATATCTTACTGGAGATTTAAAGGAAAAATTCAAAAGAATAATTGCAAGAGGAAATAGACTTTGGGGGGGGGGGGGGGTACCAGTATGTTCCTCTTAAGAAATTATCAATTAATTATGATTTATTTCTAATCAATTCTGAATTATTTTGCTATTTGAACTTTACAAATAATCAATCGTAAAGAGAATTGTGGGATACAGAAGTGTATTGTGCTGGGTGCCTCCGCAGGCTTAAACGCTAATGAAATGAACTATTTGTTTGCAATTTCACATTCAGCTCAGCCCCAGTTTTAGCTAAGAGATCGATGTTGTTCTCAATGACGCTAAAACGCCTGTAAACTACCCCAACCAACTTTTGCTCTAAAGCCTTCGTTCAAATTTAAGCTCAGTAACATGAAGAACGTTCAACAGCTAAGTCAAAAACCTACCTTTATCTGCTGTTTATTTTGGCCGTCAGACGGACTTGCAACGTTCCCCTCCATCATGATGAAATCATCCACGTGCATAGAAGGTGGTCGACTTGTGTTCTGCTTTCTTGAGCGGAACAAATCGACGTATCCACGACCAAAGCCACGACCACGACCACGAAAGTTGCCACGACCACGCTGCAGCCACGAAACTACGAGAGCAAAGAGGTAATCGAAACTTAAATAGTTATAAAGCGTTTGTCACTTCGATAAATCACCAAATGATTCGATTCTTATTTAATTTTTAAAAAACTGTAACAAAATTACGATGAGTACCCTTTCCTATCTATCATATCATTATCAAAAGAACACTTAACGATACAGAGTAGTTTACTTCGCTAAGAGGCATTTCAAGGAGAGAATTCATCATTTTTCAGCTGAATAACGAATCTACCCGATGTTCATAGGTTGCCAGACGTGAAACTTCGAAATTCCAAATGCCAAATGCAATTTCTTCCAGGCGGTTGCTCACTGTATTCATTCAAAGAGCGCTACTCACTCTAAACTACTTAACATCCCATTCAAACAACATTAACTATATTTATGAATCATATGTTGATAAAATCTCGACCTTACCGTCAAGCCTCTGTCTCTTCAGATCATCGACATGAAGATCCTTGCCATGTACCAAGGGATCGAACTTTCTTCTTGACCTTTGAAAAATAACCAGAAAAATTCATTCTAAAATCTCATACCAAATGAGACATTGATGTGATATCAAAGGTCCAAATTGGGCTATGATTATCAGCGAACATAACAGGATGACGCAGCTACGATGGCCTCGATCATTTGAAACTATATCCAGGAGTGAAGTTTAAAGACAAGGGCGGAGGGGCAAGAGTGACGCACTGGATAAGTTCCATGTTTGTGACAATTCCAAAATTATTTGGCAAGCAAGATCTTCTCTTAATTTAGAAGTTTTAGAATCTGTATACAGGAAGAGATGGTTTTCTCTCTTTGGTTTTTCAACTAAGTGAGAAATTCGCAGTCTACCGATTGGTCGATAGAAGATATCAATCAAAAGCGTTATTCTCCCTTTCACGATAATATGAGGGTATTTGCTATTGACTAATTATTCACCTTTTCGTTCTCTTGGCTTTATCATCATCTGTTGTTGTGAAACCTTTCTCGACTTCCTCTTTCAAATTGAAACCTGGGCAGTACTTCTCGGCAATGGCTTCCAAATCAACTTTGACCTGCAGTAGAACAAAGACTTACTACCGAATCTAATAAATCGTAGAAACAAATACTGAAGCACTTGATAAAAACGTTAATAAGCGTAAACCGTAATTACAGAGCTAGCATGGAGATTAACATTTCAAGCCTTTTTTACATACTAGCTAGAGAGGCAATTGCCCTTCAAACCCAGTGACATCTCATTGTTCAAAACAATAGGCTATTGTCCATCTTTTATACAAATAAGGCTTGCCCCCTAACCCCCCCCCCCACCGGCTGATTCCCTTTCAAAAAGGCTATGAATTAGCAGGCTAAAGCATCATATATCTTAGGTTTTCATATAAGCAAACAACGACCATTTCTAGTGAACTATTATAAATACTTGAAGTTATATTAATACTTAATTTAATAGTCTAAATTAACAGATTAAAACTACTGGTCGAGACATTAAGATGGCATAGATCAAAACCATTTGTCCGAGCAATAATACAAAAGCCATTTTGCGAGGATTTTTATATAAAAGAATATACGGCTTACCATGTCACAATCGACATCAATATCTTCTGGTGGGGGCGAGAGAAACCAGAGCATCGGTTCAAGTCTGCCAAAGCAAGAATAAACGATTTGTATCAATATGGCTTGGTCTGTGTCAATACTGAGCTTCATAGCTATCGTTATAGGTTATAAGTCTTCAGGGCACATCGCGATATCCTAGTCCATGCGAAAATTTCCTTAAGTTTTACCATAAGATTGAAATAGAAGAACTGTCTGCCTCACGTTGGAACTTGTTAGAACTTAGGATAGCAAAGAACAGTTCTTCTTCACAATATGGTATCGCAAAGTCTTAAAAAGAATTGCAAGAAGATCCCTACTTGTTTTTTCTATCAAAAAAGATTCTCTCATACAGTAGTTAACTGTCATTGAAGCAAAACACTAATGGAGTTGTCAGAAATAGAAAAATTAACAAGGCAAACCTTTCGTCGTCGACCATTGCAGTGAGAAAATGGACTCTGTCAGTGAAGAGCTGTTGAACAGTTTCGGGGTTGGGAAGAACGATGACTTCATCTTTATCTGGAGAGAAGAAAAACGTTTCACATCGATCAATGTATTGGAACAAGAAAAATGTTTTGAATAATATGGATGTGGAGCGTGTTTAGATAGTATGCCCACGAATGCTATTATTGTACAAGAAATGAGTTGCAGCTGTTAAACAGAGAAGACTTTGGTTTGAATCTTCTTGTTATGCCTAATGCAGTCAAAATATAACTGGCCTATCACTTTTGATGGAAGTTAGGAAAACTATTATCAAATGCCCAAGAAACATACAAAGGACACTTTTATATTTGGCACAATAAGATAAAGCGTTAGTTGGTTTTTATATAGTGGAAGAATTACTGGGTTTTGATTGGAAGTAAACTAAATCAAAAATGAAAAAGTACGCTTTCTTAGAAAAAAGTAATTGATTTTTGCTACAAAACTATTTGCTGAAGATGCCTGCCTATGCCTATACAGCAATGTGGCCATGAGATGGAATAATTGTACATGAATATAAGCGTACATAAAGACCTCGACTTTTTTCAAATTCCAAGAGTAAGATATCACAGGCCTAGTTTTAATGAAAAGAATAATGAGAATTCCTTTTTACCCCCAGAAGGTTCATCCTCACTTTGGACTGCTTCAACGAATGAAGTCAGCTGCGGAAGAACTGATGCAGAATTCACATCGTCTTTGTCAACGTTCTGAAAAAAGAGTAAATGTAACTGAAGGTATCAAGAAAATATATCATAGCAAGAAGAGATGCCAAAAGATTAAAGTTTGGATCAGAGAAGAGCCAGAGAGGTTGCGAATACTTTGAACTAGTAATTAAGAAGTCAGTGAGAAAGCTTGTTGGAAAAAAAGAAACAACGAATTTTCGTGTGACACAGGTCAAAGATTATGAAAGGTAAAAGGCAGAGAAGATAAGACAAATCTGGTTTACAAACCAATGTGTGGATGGTTTTTGTGACCCGTAAATGTTTCATAAATGACATCTAAATGTCTATTTAAATGATATTTGCCTGATGGTCGCGTGAAGCATAAAACTCGCAGTAGCAATGCCTGATCTATACACCAAATACCGTGTACAGCTCTGCTTAAACGGCATCAAGCACTTTATGACAGACCGGCAAACAGTAACTTGCATTATATAAATCATATGTAATTATCTAGAATTTGTCATATCCTTAAGATGCATATGGTATCGACCTTTGACCCTTGATATCACTTCTAGCCTTAGCCAAAGACCATTACTTTTTTATTTCCATGCACTTTGACCTTAGTAAAAGACCACAACCATTGATATTCACCTTTGACGTCGACACCTTGACAATTCACTATCATATTTTAATAGGCCGAATAACAGACTGCAAATTACATACTGAATGGTAAATTACCTTGAAATAATCGATAAGTTTGTGGATGGGGTTACTTTCTGAATTAATATCAATGTTGAGGTAGCCCTTAAGCTTTGATGGACAGACGTGAAGTTTTCGGTTCGATTGAGAATACCCTTCCTCTCTTTGTTCACCATCAGTGCCGTTTGCAATAGCAGAAAGTGGCAACAACAGGCGCAGAAAATCTAGCAGAGTCGAAAGTGAATTCAGTGCGTCATCCTGGCTTCCTTTGTTGCTAAAAAAAAGAATGCAAACATCTTATTCAATAAAAGAGGCTACTAAACAAATAAATAATTACAATAAAGTTACAACAACAATGTAAAGAGTCCATATTGATTCATACACCCATTGATTGCGTTCATTTGAGGAGTTTCAATGAGGTTTGAAACAAGGCATGGACAAGACGGTTTGAAATTGAAGGGGTAACGTGTATTGAAAAGTCTAGACAGCAAGTAATAAAATGGAACACAAAATAAAATATGACTGAGACAATGGTACGGTCTCATATCACTTTGCTCAAGTGAGTCGAAATAATGATACGATATGCTCAATGGCTGATCAAGTGGTAAGAGAAGCCAAACAGAGTCAAGAAAAGTTGTCAACCTTCTTCCGGCCAAGAAAATCTTACTAGAAAATCTTCCTCATTTTAATGGGTTTAAAATGAGCGTAGTCAGAAAACGGGGTACACAGTTTCCTCAATTTCTCTTTGTTTCTACAACCTTCCTCTGGCAAATGGCCGTGGGGCTGTGATGTTTTCCAGACTCTGAAGCCAAGGCAAAGTCAACAACAACAACAGGGTCCAACTTACCATATTTCATTTTCTAATCTCATCAAAACGTCACCAATGCTGAATTGACCTTCATCAAGAACTCTAAAAGATAAACATTTACATCAATCTAACAGAAATACTAAGGATGGAGATTTAAAAGAATTTTACTAGGTTGCCTGATGAACAAAAAGAATCAATCAAGAATCAATCAAGAATCAATCAAGAATCAAAAGAGTTAGAGATATCAATCAATACAATCATGATTGTTATAAGGTGTGGTTGTACAGCGGTCATGGTTATACCCACCTTTGAAGAATCTGCATTCCGTAATCAAAATCTGTGTAATTCATGAGAACACGAATGGCTGGTGGAATCAGCTGGTATGACTGTGTGGCATTGCAAGCGAACGAGAGGACGGCACTTGCAACAGATTGCATCACGCTGCTATGTGGCAGGTTATTGGCGAGCTAAAGAACGAATGCAAAGAGCCGATGAAAAATATTGTAACAGTTTCTTCAATACAATATAGTTAAGATTATGGGCGAGCATCCTTGGGTTTTAAAAATGGTTTTAAAAGTAGTTGTAAAATGTGGTACTTTGTGGATTTATTTAAAGGGAAAAGAGATGATATAGCAAAAATGAAGTCAATAAAGGCTACAAGCATTTAGGATAACTGCCACGGTTAAAAACGTCATTGACTGATAATATCTAAAAAAGATATTTCAGGGGTAACTTATCATGCGTTGAGGAAGGGCGTGTAAAGGCTGTTTGGGGCGTGCTACGAATGTGTTAGGGTGTTAGATGTGTCAGGAAGTGTTTGGGGGTATTTGGGAGGTGTTGGGGTTTTGGGGAAGTGTTTGGGGTGTTCGGGAGGTGTTTGGGATGTTGAAAGATGTTTTGGGTATTGGGAGTATTGGTGGATATTGGGGGAGTTGAGGGGTGCTGGTAATCTAAAGTACTAAAATATACAATCGGAGACGCCTTACAGGCTGTTGCTACATTTGATCAATTATCAGGAAAATATAAATTAGTGGATGTAACTCACGTTTTGCGGCTTAAATGGGTCTTGGAATTCGTTGATAGTTATTTGCGCATCGCAGAGAGATGTCAGAAGACCCTGAAATAAACCAAGGCGCCGTTGATAATATTTTTACTTTATCCTTAAAATAACTGCAACTTATGCAACAACGAGTCACTTGTTTGGTACTCGTTTTCACGTCATGCCCAGCGAATATCATGATATTAGCCTTATTATGATACAACATCTTTTTGACTGAAGCCAAGTTGGGTGAAAGGTTTCATAGAAACTTAAAACTTAAAAAGGTTGGTGTAAGTTTTAAAACAAGGGGTTTAGGCTGGCTCTGCCGTCTCCTCCGAATCCACCTCTGCAATTTCACACTTAGCTTTCCTGAAAAGGTGGCAATTATGGAAATTCAAAATGAAAAGCTGCTTAAACAACCAAACTAGGAAAATTCATTTATTACCCCAATAACTGTGGTGTTGTAATGACAGGACTACTAACTACATAAATAAATATTGTCAAAAGAACGATTTGCAAAATCAAGGATTCCTAGAAGTTGACAGCACCAACTTAAATCTAAAACTAATACAGATTTAGTAATCAAAGCAAAAAATAACTTTGAACTGTTTCAGAATGTCGCAAATATTAACTTTTAACGATTTCGCTGATCGCCTTTTGTCTATAAAACCTGGTATATGCAGAATATTTTTTAAGTGCAAATTGGAGTGTTTATTAAAAAGTATGTTGAGATTAAACTTTTAAATATCTCGCAAGCGGGGTGTCTTTGCAGAAGGTAAATTATGTTATTTTTGACAATCTTAGTATAGTATCCACGACGAGAAAAGCTAATATCTGCGACATTCTTACCACAAAATGGATCTAAAATAAGTTTAATAAGCAATCTGACACTGATCCAGTGGTCATGACGCACAACGGAACAAAGGACAGAATTCAACAAATAGGGATAATGACGAAAGTTATTGTTAGTTAAGCAGTTGAATAGTTTCTGTCTCATAATGTTGGTGGCCAAGCGTCTACTTTATTGCTATATCTTTATTTGAGCTCTTTAGCTAAGAAGTGTGAGATTTTAGTGTGTTTAGATATAGAGTCAAATATTTGAAAAATCAACTATTTTACGACTGGTGATGGAGGAAGAGAACTCTTAACGTGGCTAAAAATGTACGAGAAAAAGTTTTCTTTGCATAAATACTTCGAGTTTCAAAACAAATCTGACAAAGGGAAACTTTTTCAAGAAAGCTTTGTTAATAGTTCGCCTAAAATCTTCAGATAGAAGTGTTTATGTTTAAAAAAATTCACTACATTAAGAGATCTTGTAAAAACTTTGACAACACGCAAGCATGTCGTAAAAAACGTAAAAGGTTTGCGAAAAAACTTAAAAGAGTGGTTTAAAACAAAATGAAGAAGGCAAGGTACAATAAAATTGGAAAGAATATATCAAAGAATATAGAGATATGAAATTACATTGGCTTGAGAATGTATCACCAAAATACAGCATTGTTTTAGATATATTTGTAAATTGGTTTTATGCTGAAAAAAGGCTTTGTTTGTCAAATGGATTTATTTCCGATGTTGCTAAGCAAAATGCGGTAATTTAAAATCATTCCAGAACAAAAAATCACAAACAATTTCCAGATAACAAGCCTATTCCAGTAAACAGGCCCAAGGTTTGCATGAAAGTTAGAAACTTGTGCTCCACGTAAAGATAATGTAATAACAATTAAAGGATTTCGTTTTCAAATACTTGTTATTCGTATTTTCAAATTACTAAGACAGTGAATGCCAAATTATGTAAACTGATTTTCAATTATTTGATTGCAAAGGCGATCAAATCACAAAAATGATCAGAAAAAGAGATCAAGGGAGCTTCCGCGCAAAGTTCCTTTCCTGATGTTCCATCAAAAATATCACTTCTAGCAATAAAAAACATTACAGTCGCGTGCAAAAGTTTAAGACCAGGAAAAAAAATGAAGAAGAAACGCAATTATTTCAAAAACATTAACTATATTAAAAAATTCAAAAAATTCCAGTGTATTAGAATGGTTTTTTAAACAAGATATGTTATTTTGATGTTAACATAGAAAAACGGGAAAACGTGGCATGTGGTCTTTAATTTTTGCACACGACTGTATTTATAGAAGAAAGTTTGCGCCAGCCCCAATGCTTTTCGTGCGAGCAAACTACTTAGGGAAAGTCGCTATATCTGGTTGCAGCGAGCCCACGAACGAAACCTTTGCAATTGGGCCTCATTCTAGCTTTCGGTTCCGGATGTCATTATATTACGGACGTCCAAAAGATGCGAAGAAAAAGATAAATTTCAATAAGGTGCATCCCTGGCCTTGCCAGACGTCCTCGACCTCTAGAAAAGGACAAAACTCAAAAAAGGACAGAAATCTTTCTTGTTTATAGGTGCTAAGGCTGAGTGTACGCAAGCTCTTCCCTGAACAGCTTTAAACAATGTGTTATTTGGCTGTAATTATGCTTTTGCCATTTGGTCTTTGTTATCGTAAATATTTATCTTAGATATCGTATATCGTAAATATCATACTTATTTTAGCTGACAAAAGGGTTTTTACTAGTTTGTATATTTCACAGTTGTATCGGACGATTGTTCTTTACCGGTCTGTTGAAAAAGGTTCGATGCAGTAAAGAGTGACAGAGCTAAACACGCACTTGTGTGCAGAGCAGGACGGTTAAACCCCATCAAACGCAAAGATTTAATATTTGCATAAAATTTAAAACTATTTAAAATTTTCCATGGGCGCATTAAACTAGGATTAGAAGGGGTGATGGTGTGTGTCGGTGTGACGGCCTTTGGCGACCGGGCAGCTCAGTTGGTGAAACAAACAACGTATAAAGTCGCTGGTCGTCAAATTCGAGCCCTGCTCTGGTCGTTTCACTAATTCACATTTTCTCTCAGTATAACATGTTTTCCCTTCCCTATGCAAGCAAGGAATTTTATGTTATAAAAATATCCAAAAACAGATGTACATACCAGAATTCCGTGAATGAGAACTGGGTTTTCGCTTGATTTTCCTTCGGTAGAGAGTAGCTCAAGAATTTTTGGCATCAGCTCTCCGAACTCACAATCTTGCTCCTCTCTAAAGAAAATTTTTTGAGCAAGCTTTAAAGTAATGTTGCTGACAATTTAATGCACGTTTTTCAATGGGATTGCAATTTAGTATGATATGACAATACACGAAAAACTGTTCGCAATTATTTGTAGGTAATATATTTTGCAAAAAAAACACAGATAGGAATTTTTTTCAAGTAATTTATTTAGCAAGATAAAATTATTTTCAACTGCAGTTAGATCATTATCGTAAAGTCGAAACACCTCATGGACCAGAATAATAGATAGTAAGAATTTCAAGGCAGAGATTTCGAACAAAAATACTTGTCTGTTAATTGAGAGATTCCCATCGTTGGGAGGTGTCCGTTGGAAGGGGGTGCCTGTTGGGAGGAGGTATCAGTGGGAGGGGGTTGTCTGTCGTAAGGAGGTGTCCATCGTAGTTATGTGTCTGTTGTGGGGAGGTATTCGTTTGAGATTAGTGTCCTTTATTCGATGGTCGTTGTAAAGAGTGTTCGATGTAGATCAGAGATCATGGGAATGTAGAGACGTACCAATTGTAGGGTGGTCGTTGCAAATAGGTGTATGTTGTAGGGAGATACCCGTTTAAGATTAGTGTCTCTCATCGGATGGTCGTTATAGAAAGGCGTCCGTTGGAGAGAAGGTCCTTATTGGATGGTCGTTGTAGAAAGGCGCCCGTTGAAGAGGTGTCCTTTGTAGGAAGGATTTCATGTTCGTTTTAGGGAACCAGAGAAGTGTGCCAGTTGTTGGCTGTTCGTTGTAGACTGCTGTTTGTTTATCGTTCCTGAAGACTAATTCTAGAAGTAGTTGAGGCATACTGGGGATGAAATAATTTTCCTGTAGACTAGATATACGCAAGGAAGGTTTGTGTCTGCTCTCGGGAGGTGTCTCTTGCCTGGAAGTCATTCTACAAAAATTTGTGGCGTACTTGAGGACAGAAATAATTGTCTTATGATTAAATGTCCATTTTTGGGAGGAGTCAATTATTTTGAGCTGTCAATTATTGGAAGATGTCCAGTAATAAAGGCTCGCTGTATTAACAGGTTTGGTGACTGTAAGATAGCAACGCAGATGAAAAATAAATAAAAAAATGCAGTTCCCCTTACCCTTGTCGTGTTAATTGCAAGAATGCCAGTTTTCCACCAGGTTGCGAAACAGCAGATGATAGCAAGGAAACTACCCTCGCGGCACAACTGAAATTAATCCAAGAAATTCTTATATCATTTTTGATAGAATTGATGAAGAGTTATAAAAGGTTAAATACTTAAGAATAATAGAGTACTTTAACTGAAATAAAGCCAAGAAAGTTAAGAAAAGATGGTGGTCACTAAGAAAAGATCCTAGTTGTAATTAATATTATGGTTGATTTTTTTTAATTAATAATTATTAGGATTAACTTTCGCGCCACATTTTCATAAAATATTCTTTCATTATAAATTGATCTTGGATTGATCAAATGGTTGCATGAATCAATCAATTAGTTCGTAGCCTGCTAGGCTGTTGGTGCACCCATTGCCTGACGCTCGCTCGCCACTGTGCATGGTTTCATAGATTTCAAAAAAGGGCCTAAAAAGAAGTGTTTTGAAAAACTAATGATAAAAAAAACATTCGATAACCCTTTATTAGCAATTATAGCTATAATTTATTTACCAATTTTTAATCAAAGAATAAATGATAAAATAAGACCATTGGCTATACCTATTATACATAAATATAACATCATTTGATTGATAGAACCTTTCGAATCTATCAACAATCGAATTCGTGACAAAGTTTGTCAACAGCAAAAAAGGTTACCCGATGATATTTGCGTTAAGGCATCTCAACTACAAGCATCAGAATCATGCTTCTTCGTTTCACATGCACCATAATAATGCATTTAAAGATCATTACATTATGTCCCGAGCTCCCATATAGGCCTGCGTTGGACCAGTAAAGATTGGTTGCGATTGGGCTTCAGTGGAAGCCGTCTTAATTAACTTAATCTTCACTAAAAAATGTAATGGTTTATACTCTTAGCAAGTCGAGAATTCTTCATATGAGCCCTTGCATGACATAATTGCATTTTCCTCTGGGTATAAAAAGCTGCAGTTCTTGTAGATATCTCAATGAAGGATCTGTGACAGTGAGGTAATGGTACCACATGCTTACCTATTCTCAAATGGCTCGTCCTCTTTCCCTTCTGTTTTCTCTTCATCATCCTTTTGACCTCGAGATATTTTTCCAATTTCGTCTTCAAAAGCCTCACAGAGGAAGCTGATAAAACACAAAAATATGTTGTTGGAAACAAAGCTTTAAAGAGGCAACAGGGAGAATTGGGGTATGTGGAATAAAGGGTCGCTATGTTTCTCAACTCATCAAACTGTATATCTGTGTAATATGAAGTGAGAAAGATTTCTTACAACAAAGTTATAAATACAACTTGAGGAATCTCTAATTCACAAAATGCTAGTCGACTTTTGTCTGAATGTTTAGACCGCACGTTGCAAATCATCCCACTTAAACTTTAAACGATGTTTCGTTTGCACCTGCTCAATCTTTAGAGGGGTCACCAACCAATGGTTTCAAAAAAAGACATAAATGCAGTGTAAGGTTCTTACCGTATTGTACTTAGCGCAGTAACGGCTCCAAGATCACACAACTGAAGACAAAGCTTTCGCAGCGAATGTTGCAAATACGTGCAGCAGGAACCTAGGGCAGAAACACTGCTTTCAAAATACGGTTGATATAAACTTCAAAGGAGCAAAGTACAAAACTAAAAACACCATTAACGTGCGAATGATTATTTAAACTGACTTTTCTTTCTAAACTATTGGAACATTAAAGGACCTTATCGGGACCCCATCAAAGGTCATGCTTTCGGTCAAAAGAAGGTGCTCTCGAAATCCAACACAAAGGGTCAAAAGAAGGACCTCCTTGTTGCTACGACTCCTTGAGAGCTACCAACTGAAAACAAGATTGCTATCACAAAGAGGCTGTGTGATCCTCCTTCACAGCAGATTTGTCGACAGCACAACCATGTAAAATGCAAGAGGTTTCATGTTGAAAAAGGAGCAACTCACCAACAAGTGATTTGAGCATAGACTGTATTTCATCTCCAAGCGCGCCAATATGAACCATCCACAAAATCCTGTGATTACTAAGGGCTTTGATGTCATCAGGGGTAAGGTCCTGAAAGAGCAAATAGCAAGGAAAATGTAAATAAAAATTAAAGAGTTGTCGAAAATGATGTTTTTAAATGTTGGTTTGACAAGAAAGTATTTTGCAATGCTACATTGGGCATTTAAGTCAATCACTAAATCCCAGGCAGCCAGCTTTGTGAGACTCCGAACGGAGTTATTTTGGGCGCCTGTCAAACGAGATCGAATCCAGATAGATTCATGCAACAAACAAAGGAGTCTTGTCTTGCCTTTACCAAAGGCCTAAAGAGTCTTATTCTAAATCTCTAAGGTATCTCGGCTAATCTAAGAAAGCAAACACTAGATGGATCTTTTCCTATGGGTTTGTTATTGATTTGTGAGAGGTGTGAGGTATATTTCAGTGGATAGGGTAGCTGATAACAAATCAAAGGGGTTGGGGTCCGAGTACCTGACAAACTTGCACCCAGCGCGAGGAGAGTCGACAGCTCTTTACAATTCCAGGCGTAGGAATCACGAGGTGTGGTCACTTCCGAAAAGAAAGACTAGGACACTGTTCGATAAGCAAAAGCTTATCAGTGTCCTAAAAACTTCCTTCGGATGCTAGGTAGCAAATACAAAATTACTGAGTTGACAACCTTAGGCCATGTTCCTCGTTAACCTGTATAACTATCACTTCAAGTAGTACCATCAAATAAACGGGGAAGTTATTCTCCAATGAGTGTTAAAAATTAGAACAGAATGCTAAGTGTTGAATACCACAGGTAAAAGAGACCTCAGTTGATTACCTGTATGGCATGAACGGGAAATGGAACCGGCAACAGCTCTGACAATAACACGACACCGCTGAGAAATGCCTGAAAAATCGAAAGGAGGAATATACGAAGCCATTAAAACAGGAGAAGGGAATCCTAAGCAAACGGGTCATACCTATTTCGTCATCGTAATGCGTGTTGTAGGTCGTTGTTAAGTATATCTAATAACGTTTCACCAAATAAGTATCTGGTACTGCGGATTTCAACAGTAGAAAACGGTGACATAACAAACTATAGTATTTTTCGTACTATAGTGCTTCATAATGGAACATACCGTAATGCTTCAAATAAGCGCCCGGGCGCTTATTTAATTTTTGAGGCTCCATGGTGGGCGCTTATTTGAAGGAAGCGCTTAATCGAGGGGGGGCGCTTATTTAAAAAAGTATATTTGTGTTGTTCATTAATCTTTCTTGTTGAAATGTCTCCAATTATTTTTTCGTTGAAATTCGAATAAGCGCCCGTTTCTGAATGTCGAAGGATGGGCGCTTATTCGAGGGATGGGCGCTTATTCAATAGCATCACCTTTAGGGTGAGCGCTTATTCGAGGGGGCTCTTTTTTGAGGGGGCACTTGTTCGAGGCATTACGGTATATAAAGATAAAAGTTCTAAGCCCGTTTTATTCTCATAAATACATGTTTGCGATTTCTTGTTGGTGAATGAATTGAATTTAATTCTGACTTTCCACAACATTAATAAATGGCCTCAGCCTTTTTTCACAGATCGAAAATCTAAAACAACACGCAAAGGATATGGACCGTCCATGGAAATCTTGCTATTCAATTTTCGATGGGAAGCATTTAGCGCAAACTATTAAAACTGACATAAGGATATGAGAAAACTCAGATTACAACTATCTTCTTTGATTACAACTATATAGTAATCAGATTATTTTTGTGGTTATATTAAGGATGGAAATATGCATATTAAGCTTTTGTCAGGATTAGGGGTTTAGTAAAAAATTAATATGTACAAAGAGTTGGCACAAACCAAGCTGCTATTGATAATGCTCAACTGTCACGAATAAAACAATACACAATTAAGGAAATGTTGTAGAAAATGATTTTACCTGAGGCTTTGAGCACGTGTATTGTACAAGTTCTTTTAACATGAGGTACCAAGAACTTGCCTTCAAAACTGGGAATAAAAAGCAGCGAAATAAGAAATGGGTAAAATTATTTATTTCTATAACTTCATTATGAATCATGACGCTTTCCCGACAAAACTGCGAATGACTTTTAAGCAAATGACATTTTTAAAGACGAGTTATCAAGGGCAAAGCTAAAATCACATGAATAAAAATCATTCGAAAAATTCGACCATGAACGTAGAAACTAATCTTTGTTTATTTTGATGTTTCAATTCAAAGAGCTGGCTATTTGAAGTAGTTTCGTCAATCGTGTGGCTATTTGCAAAAGTAAACAATGTTCCAGAACAAACATGGCACAAACATCAGGCTACACGAAGCTTAAGGTTGAAACATTGGATTTGCAAGGCTAGTACTAAACAAGCGAATGCTCTATTGAAAACATGCAAGGTTGCCATCTTGAGCGAAACGTACCATCTTGAGATTCAGGAGCAGTTGTGGAGGTAAATTTGAGCAGTATTGATACGATTTCTGACTGAACCTAAAAAGATGGAGGATGGAAGGTGTTATACATACTATTCGGAACTCGAAGAGGTGCAATATATGAAAATGCTTCTGGAGATCGTCAGAAAGAAAAGCAAGGGAGAATAACATAAAAGTACATGAAAAATATAATGAAAACGAATAGAAATCTAAAATAATTTCAATTGTATCAGAAGCCAAGATATAAAAATCTTGTAGAATTATTAAATACGAAGGTAATATTGATCAAGGGCAGAAAACATAATATGGGCTTGAACAATGTCATAATTTCTTAGCACTAAACCCGTATGAAGATCGCAAATGAAACATAATGCAGAAATTTGCAGCTTTTCACTTAAGTGGTGATTTCAAAGGCAAATAGCCAAAAGATTAAAAACTTCAAACTCAGGTACCGTTGCAAACATAAAACGAAGTTCGTAAATGAAAAATGTCTTTGCCGTGATGGCGCTACTTTTAAGCCAAACTTTTTTTGATCAAAATTTAAGATTTCAAATTTTGGGCTAAAATTTACGGGACAAATTTAGTGTCAAAATATGGAAAACCCGTTAACATCTTAATAAAAATACAATTTCTGAAGCGATCAAAATATCTAGGGACAATATAACGAAAAGTTAGGGAAAAATTACGGACAAAAACTTTTTTGGATGAATTATTGGTTACAACGAAAAATTATGGGCAATACTTTTATGAGTATAAATTGAGGGTGTTCTTACACATAAAATAAAATGATAAACGTACTTGTGAAATGGTACTGACGAGCTGCCCAGTAACTGGTCTTGAGCACAAAATCGTGTGCAGGACAAACACACCATGCAAAAGCCTTGCATCTTTGAAAGGGACTTTTCCACTATCGATAAGCTCACGAAGCATTGCGTGAATGAGTTGAAGCAATGGCACAGCTAGGCTGACAAGAACAAAGCAGTGGTGACTGGAAAACGCCTGGTTTTGTCTCCAGGGTGTGACAAGGCGCTCGCCGAGTTTGTTTAGCAGCTGCAAGAATGTATCGATGGCATTGGCAGAGAATAACTGGATGATTGCAAGGCTCCATTTTAGCTCCTTTTGCTCAGCTGGGAAATGAGAAGAACACAATTAGCTTAATAAGCCTTCCAATGGAATCCGAAGGGGAAAAATATGCCTTTGGAATAACACCAAAGTTCGAATAACTGGAGGTATATGTAAGGGTAATGATTTAAAGAAAATGAAAATTGAGAGAGATAGCCGGAAAATAAGAATAAGTTGGACAACACTCTGATAATTGAGGAGGAGTACAAATTTTGTCTTTGATAAGACATACTACAAGAAATTGGGCCTTGGCTTGTTTAAAGGTGGGTATGCTGAGATCGTAATTCCCAAAAGAACCGTTAATCACATGATTTCACAAGGCAGTTCTAAATAGGGGAGTCTGAGAAAATTCCTTTAATTAAAGGAAACAAAAAACAAACTTCCTTTGGGCGGTAAATAAGCTGCTTTCTATAAATGGGTTTAAATTAATGCAAAACAGCAGGAAAACGAGGAGACAGAAAACACCTAGAAAAAACGTTTCTTACCTCCCTGCTCATTGCTTGGGGCGATGCAAATATACTTCAGCAGCCTTAACGCCGTGTGAATTCCTCTGGGACTGTTCGCGTTTGTTTTGAATGAATCCAGCTCCCTAAAAATTAAGTAGAAATGGTCAGCTAACATCTATTTACAGTAGACTCACGTTATGGTTACGCCAAATAGAAGAATTTATACCAAATTTCGTCCCTTTGACATTCACAAAGGAATAAAAACCTTTTTCTTTTCATAGTAAAGGTGAAATCAAAAGGGAGAATTTCCTGTTTCTTTCTAAAAATCTCATGCCGCTTTTCACTCGCTCTACCAAAGTTCAATTTAGTTAAATCAATAATAAGAAAAACCAAAAATGACGCCCATGTAAACTGAGGGAAAACTGTCAGTCCCAAAGCAATGGGCGCAGAAAGCTTCATTTGAGAATGACCTATTTTCGCGAATAAATGGTGCTGCAATATGAAATAAAATCTGCAACAGCCTCTACATTTTTCGCTCATTTGTCTATGTCCTGTTTTCAGTGTATACAAAGGCCCTAAATGTGCGAATGAAAAATTTTTGTGCACTGAAAATTTACGTAATCACGTTAAGAAGAAAATAATTATTTGTGGGAGATCACGCACAGAAGAAAAAAAGACTGAAACAAAGAAACCACTAGTATAAATACAGTTAAAGGGATCAATCTAAAATGGAGAGGAAAAAAAGGCTTACCCTTTGATGTATTCCACTAAGTTTGCAATTGCATTCAAATCGACTTTGATTATCCGATCAAATGGAGTGAGGTAGTGGCCAAGTTCAGTTAAGATTGTGTCAGCCTCTGTTATTGAAGAAAGACATATAATGTAATGGCAAATGCTTCTGCGTTCGCATCATTGCTGATTGCATATTTCATTCAGAGCTTGTAGTCAGTGTAAATCGTTAAAACTTATCAAATATCAAGCATCTTGAAAATAACTATCCTAAATGCATTTTGTATGACGCTTTTGGTGTATAGAACAGGACAGTGTACTAAGTTGCCTCTCCGATACTAACGCTTAATGCAATCACCAGACAACCGCCTATAGGGCAAGCGTGTACAGCTCTGCCTATAGGGCACCAAGAACTTAATAACAGACCGGTAAACAGATATTTTCATGTATTTTGTAAAGACAAGATTCAGTTTTTCACATCGAATAGAGGCTACCTACCTCGTTATCAAATGAAATGAAATGAAAAGTATGAAGTAAAAGGAGAGATCTTTTACCATCTTGTAACAAGGTAGTTAGAAAATAATTACAATGGCTAACTCTAAGTCGATTAGCTAGAGCAAGAAAATCTCGAAAGTAATCGGTCTAAACATCTACTAATATAATTAAATGATAGTCAATGAGTTATTGAAAAATCAGTGAACTTACCCTTTTTAGGCACAGCAAGCAACTTACTTCCAAACTTTTCTAGCGATTTGATGTTTTCAGAGACTAAGAAACAAAGCATTCAGTTATAATAAATAGTAACAAAAAAGACCACAGAGAAAAATTATATTATACACAGGTTTCAGTACAGAAAGCCTTCTAGATTCTCCTCAACTTGTGCAAACAATTTCTGAATAATTTCACTAGGTTTTCAAAAAATAAAGTGTTTCTATAAACTTAAACAAACATTAGAGACAGAATACAAAGTGTTGACCTCAGCTGAAAAAATAGGCCAGACTTCTGCATATCGATAAATCCCATAATATCGGTCTGGAGATGCTAACTAAATGGCGAATATTTACCAAATAGCTGACTTACTTTGAATTGTTGAAAGCAGCAAAACGGACGCGTATTTACTGGAAACTGAGCGCCGGGTCTTTCCTTCATTTTCGCCTTCTGAAATAAAAGAAAGAACTTATCTTTGAATGAAAGTTCACCTTGCCTTCTGACAAGAGAATAAACTTTGTGTAAAAATGCGCCAATGATTTAGGATTTCTGCTGTAACTGAACTGGTAAGTTCTGAAAACACTTAGAACGTGACGAAAATGACGAAAACTATTTTTCTTTTAGAATTGTCGTGTCTCCACTATGTTGTGATAAACAATAGCGGAAAGATAAACAAGAGAAAGGATGAACGTGATATGTTTACCAGTTTTCAGATGTCTGAAATGATTGGCAGCCAAACATGAACGGCTCACGGCCAAATTCGGCAAGACAAACAAAATATTCAAAAACAGATCAATTTTGTTAAACTGTGTGGTTCAAAAGGGTAATCTAACATAGCTATTTTTTTAAACAACTTCACTTGCTTTTTAAATGTGCTTGTCATCTATGATTTCGTACGTTACTTTGTCGAGGGAAACTGAAATTTTTAGCATCACTTTGAGCATTCTTTTGGCGAAAATAAGGGTTAAATTCAATTTAAGTTTTGCTTTTTCGTCCAAATCAATATTCGATGGCCTAGGCTTTTCCAAAATGCCTTTATGATGGAATATTCTATAAAAACCGTCAATTCACAAAGCCATATTCAACCATCCATAACTTCCCTCCCTATTAACAATGTTGGTCAACTGCAAAATGATACATAGGGTGAACTATATTTTACAGAGAATAAGGGAGAAGGGAAGAATTTAGGACCAAATATAAAACTTCACCTGTATGTTCTACAAATGGCATTAAACAGCGCAGATTATCTCGTTGGGATAAAACTGACGTCACGGCAACTTTACCTGAGGAGGTAACAAAATATGCTCATAATGGCACTATAAATGCAAAACAATAACCTGTGCATTGTTACCTGTTGTTAGGCAATTGTATTAAAGTACGGGGTAGCTTTATGCTAAGAATCTCGATGCTTTTTCACAACATTAAAAAACATAAATTTGAGAACATGTAGTTCTCAAAGACAGTCTAGCTTTAACATTTCCCGTCCTGTCCTAGTCTAAATTATTTTGATACAATTAAGTCTTTGTGAAAGCTCAATTAAGAATATACAAACTGATTTATACCCGGTTTCCAAAAAGATAGAAATGTTTAGTTCGAAGATCCCACGAGAGAATGAATGCAATATAGTATCCCACAGGGACCTACCTAGCAGTCAATACCAGAGAAAACCTTAAAGGAAAAATACCGCTATCATACCTATGGGAGTGAATGTCATTGAATACAATGTGTGAAGAGTTGACAAATTGTCGGCATCATCCATTTCATTGGGAGATATACCTGAACGAAAATAAAAATTAATTAGGAGAATTTAACTAGAATTTGCTGAAACAAAATGCCTTGTTTTGCCACTGCTGGAGACAACCCAATCGCGATAAAATGGATAGTAAAAAATGACCGTTAAAGGCTAATGTGTGTAGCAATAATTGAAATTTATAGCTTGCTAACTTACAGTCCTAAAAATATACACTCCCTTATCAGAAGTATTACACACCTTGTTCAAAATGGCGACCTTTTTTGTCAACTTTGAGTGCATGAATTGGGCGAAATAGGCGTATTTTGTAGCAAATTTTGGCGGGAAAAGTTTGCAAAATTGAGTGACGCCACAGAAAACTTAATTAGGAATGTATGAACTACGCAAAAACATTTTTGTTTGTAAAAATGTAGACCATGCCTAAGTGAGCAAAATTGTCAAATGAGAGGCGAATCGCTTTAAAAATTTTTATGGGCAAGTGGTCTTTAATTTTTAAAAGTGTATACCACAAATTTGCTTAAATAACCTTAAAGTGAAAAATGCACATTTTCTCATGTTTGTACGAGGGAGTCAAATTTTACTCAGAGTGAAAGTATATACACTAGGGTATCAAAAGTATTGCACCACCTCGAATGAGGAGAAATGGCGCATGAATGATCGAAAGCTATTGTTATGCAAATTGATTCTGTTTTTAAGTGGCAAATGGCAATTGGTCGGAAGCAAAACGACCACCAATCAAAACTTCAATCTATTTAGAGCTTATTTTTTAAAAATAACAGTAGAAAACGTCTTTTAACAGTTTCAAATTTCAATAATTTGACGGGTAGCCGCAAACTTTTGAAACCACAAAAAGCCTCCTTGAAATGGATCCATACATTTGGCCAACGTATTCTTGTGGAATTTCGTATTAGGCCTGGAAACCTCTTACAATTAATGATTCTCTGGTCTTTGGACCACCTTTTGGATCACGGTTTGTAACCTTTTTCATTTGAAGTTAAACTTTTTAAGTGATGTTAAAGATTGCACTTTACTCTGACTATGTCAAAGCTTTAATTTCTTTTGTTTGGAAATAATTCTTTGTAAAAATAGTTTCCGTTTACTCAGGTTCTTTTGTATTTTTTCAAAACACTCATTATATTTTCTGTGGACGGATTTTGAGCTGCAAAACCTTGCGCAGTGTTGAGTTTCATGTCTTTTACTGCCCCTTGGTGCTGTACGCAGTGAAAAAAACAGACGAATTCTTTCCCCTCTAACATCAAATTTATTTTGGTCGACAACTTCTCGGTTTCTTTACTACTGTAACACTCTTGAGAAATCTTTTTTGATTTACCCCAGCTGTTGTGTAGCTGCATCTAACTTGGTCAACATTTTTTTTAAAATTAAAGACCACTTCCTCGTAAATGTTTTACAGCGACTCGTCTCTCATTTGACAATTTTGTTTCCTCAGGCATGGGCTACATTTTTACAGATAAAAATGTTTTTGCGCAATTTATATATTTCTAACTAAGTTTTCTATGGCGTCAGCAAGATTTGCAAACTTTTCCCGCCAATGTTTGCTCTAAAATGCGCTTATTTCACCCAGTTCTTGCATTCAAATGTTTTGCATGGTCAAAAAGTCGACAAAAAGTGCCGCCATTTTGAGCAGTGTGGTGCAATACTTTTGATACCCTAGTGTATACTGACAAATTTTTTCATAATTTTGGAGAACAGAAAAAGCGAACATGGAGAACAGAATTTCTTCCAGATACAAACCTGTTTTTTCAGCACTGATCAGTTGGTCAATGCCTTGCAGACTCTAGAACAAAAAGGCAATTTTAAGATTCTTCCTCGATAATAACAATTTTCAGAAAACGTTTTGCCTAAATGATAACTCCATTACAAATGGTGCTGGAAATATACTGGCGAGAAGTAGATGAATACGAGAAGAACAGAAACCTAGAAAAAATAGACTTTAAATCAATCAATATTCTAGAAACACTTTTTTGATTTTCTTGATTCATTGAAAATTATATTTTGTAACAGTATGCAGTTGTTTAAAAATAAAACTTCCAAAAAACAAACTTGTGAGGACAGAAAGAGATTGTTTTCTCGCCGTCTTCTATTAAAATCCCTACCTTTTGTAACCTGAGGTGTTTTAGATAAAAAAAATCTTTACTATTTTTTATGGATTCTCTACCTCTATTAGCTATTCTGAAATTTCTAACAATAGTAGACGTAATGATTGTGTTTCATGAAATTCATAGAATCTTAAAAGGGGGCACACCTGCAAGTGGTAAATTAGAAGCAACCCGAGGTGATGTGCAACGCAGTTCTCAGCTGCACTTGAATCGTTTTTCAGCTCCTACAAAAACAACATTCATGATGAAATTCAAATCTCTTGACTTGCCTGAAACAAATTCACAACAACTAAAATTTTTTTCCATTTCGATCCACAACTGGGTATACTATATTCAACTATATATATTTCGATCCACATCTGGGTATTTAATTTCCATCGTGTTCTTTCAGGCCCTTATTCTGACGTTTTATACACTGAGGAGTATCAGACGAAAATTTTTTGGTAGGTATTATGTTGTGAAATGTTGGAAATTATAGTAGGCTTTTTCAAAGTCACATCTTTTTTCATTCAAACTCTTTTCTCCAATCTGTTGAGCTTTTATCTCCAGACATTGAAATCTGTTTCTAAGGTTTAATAAGGTGTACGTTTAATAAAGCAAAATGACAGAAAAATCTGGGTTTCAAGTTGCTTATCGCAAGAAACACATTTCTGTGGAGATTTCTCAGTGACGAAGGAAGACAAGTTAGCTAGTATGTGTATTTCTTGCAAATATTTTCCTTGTAGAATTAGGAATATAGGCAATACGGAGCATAGACTAAAATATATTCAAAATGAAAAAGACAATGAATGTTTCAATAAACCATAATCGGATACAAACTTTCAAAGATGGAGCTTCACTATAATGGCTTTCGGCTTCCTGATAAACGAAAAAATCAAACATTGACGGAAACGGACGAGAAAATTCAATCTCTATATCAAAATTCGAAGGACAGGAATTGGTCCGCCAGACAATTATCAATTAGACAATTAATTGATAATCTTACTATTCAGTCACATAATAGAGAAAGGTTAACCTTTCTCTATTCTGTGATTCAGTCATGCAAAAATACCCCCCGCTTTCAAAGAATAATCAATCATGTCAGAAAATGTCGTTTCAAGCCAATACGACTGATATTACTTCCCATGAACTACATGCTATTGGAATTGGAAGGGCTTATTATTATCATTAGTTCCCGATTGAACCATACTAGACAACGAAGGCTCAAAGAACTCCTACAATTCCACTTTTGCACATTACTTAATAGGCAGGGTGTTCATGATGGAAACTGAAACCAAATACCAGGGACAGGTCTTTGGCAGTCATCGAAGTTGCCACCCTAAGAACTGTAAGAGTCTTTGGTTATGGAAAATAGCAATTTATTTAGAAATTTAGGATGATAGTAGTCTTTATGAAATAACAAGAGAGAAAAATTTCCCAAAAAATTCAAACTCTATCGTATTATGATTATTCAAACTCTATCGTGCTATCGCGAACTGTATGCAGAAGATAAATAAACAGAAATATTGAAATATGTGGAATTAGTTGATACATACTGAAGACTGAGTAAGGATTCTGATCATGCCATTCATGGTGTTTGGCTCCGAGGCCAAGAAAACCAAGCCTTTGAGAAGGGAACGAAATTAGAAAAACGAATTATGAACACACAAACTACGATTGTCCGTTTCATAATAAATTCAGAGGGGGGGGGGGGGGGGGGGTAAATTGCTATCTAAACTATATGGCTTGGAGTTTTTCTAAATTATTAGAAACCATAGGGTGCTTTTAAAAAGCCAGAACATTGAGAAAAGCGAGAACAGGGAACAGATGCTTAAAGTGATACAATGATCGGTAGACTTCTAAAAAGACACAAAAAATCGATGTCGGTAATGTTGAGGAAATGGGCCCTTGGAAAGGCATATGGTATCATGTCTCTCAGATATAATAGAAATAATTAGAAAATATCTGTTGGGAATTATTTGCACATGCTTATGTTCAAATTGATAAACGAGAGGTGATTGTTGCCGGAAGTTGACTACACAAGTTAAAGACGCATGAGTTAAGGATGCCTGGATCTATAGAGTGGTTTAGCGAAAGATCGTGCAAAATAAAGCTTTGACTAGCATTAAGAAATAAATTATAACTTAACACATCGGAAACGAATAAGCAATTTTCATGAACAATTTTCAAAATTTACAGCTAATCAAGGAAGACTAAAAACTACAGCCATCTGCAGGTGAAATTACCTTTTTCATCATCAAGCAAGCTGAAAAGAAGATCTCTGATTTTCGAGAAAATCGCTGGTTCACAAAACACAGGAGAAGAAATCAGTATTAGTATAGCTTCCAGGAATCGCCTAAAAGAGAAGTATTTTCTCTAATCACTCAATTATTTTTTTTGCAGAAGTTGCTTACAAGAACAATCAAAAGACAATTTGAAATTAAAATAAAAAGACCAAAAATGCCAGAATACGTAACACAGTACTTTTGTAAACTGTTGACCCTTTTAATTAGGGTAGAGGATTTTAAAAATGAAAATATCTTGACAAAGGAGAAGCAATAATTACTCAAAATATCATTCTTGGTGAATTACCCTCTTCAGTTAACAATACTTCTGCTATCTCAAAAAACAATTATGTCACAAATATATAAGGACCTTTTTCAAAAATTTTCAGTATAGATCGTTAACATATGCAGTTACTGAGGAGGAGAAAACTCACCTCTTGCGCAAAAGTGAGAAGACGGTCGGACGGCAGTCGTTTTGAGGAATGTCAACAACTTTTGCAGATGTTGGAAAATTCTTCAGCGCAGGCTGAGACTGAATCGAGAAAAAAAAATTAATTTAACAAAGATTTAACATAATAAAGGTTGAAAAAATTAATTTAACAACTAATAATAGCGATCATTATTAAATTATAAAACAGTGCTTTAACAGCAAGAATTAAGTCTCATTTCGAGCATAAGACTGCATAGTTAAGCTCTTGTGTGTCACTAATCACAGATTCAGCTATTCTTATTAAAAAAGGAAATGATAAAAATGAAACGTAAGAAAATAAAACTACGCTTATTTGCCGAAACTAGATAATTGCTGGCTGATTGATCTTTTGAATAAAATGAACTAACATGAATTAAGGCAATCGACAGATACTAAAGTGGGTTAAGCCACCTGTCAATCAAAATCAACCAATGCACAAGCGTGTGAATGTTATCACGCTCACTGATTGGCAAATTGTTGATTAATATACAGCTTTTTTAGTATTTTTCAATTGCTGTAAATGATTCGTTTGATGTGGTTCTGTGTTGTTGCTGTTGTTTATTTTTGTTGCCATTAAATTTGCTGTTGCGTATCCTACTGTTTCCAGTTGCCCGCATTACAGGAGACTTTGGCTTAAATTTAGGGTTTAGATTCAAGCGATTGATCAGTGATTAGTTGCAAATTGATGCGTTCTTTATCGTGTTACAAAATACTCAAACTACTCAAACGTCACTTGTGGCTAAAATTCTTGACGCTTAATGGCAATTCTGCGTGCTTTAAGTTGCCACAAAAAATGGGGACATATCGAAATCTCTCCTCTCCCTATTCATATGTTGGTACCGTATGACAGCTCAATGTTCCAGCATTCAATTTCATCTCATAGAGCCACCTCGATATTGATAAAGGGGGAGGGGGGTCATGTTAAATAAGAAATCTGCATTTTGAAATCTACACACTCACAATAAGTTCTTGGGCATTGCTCAGCACACTTTGAATATCGTCCAAAGCTGACATCACTATCTCCAAGTCGTCATTTGAAAAAAATAATTCAGGGATGAGAAAATCGTTGTTATCTGACACCATGTTCTTCTCCTTCTCGTCCCCATTCTCTTTCTTTATTTCAGCATCATCTTCTTCCTTCTTCAAATCTACTTTTTTCTGCTCCTCCGCTGCTTCTGACTTCATGCTATTGCACAAGCTTCAAAAGACAAATGGCCAGCTATATAAGAGCGTGAACAGTGACAAGTTATTCAGTAAGAGGTTATAGTAAAAAGGCTGCAGACTTTAATCCCTACAATACAAATAATGACGACTAAATGAAATTTCAGTAGAGTTAACTACATGAGGGGCGTTTCTCCTTCAATTAATTCTCTTAGAGTCGTTATACTTTAATATTTGTGCTGGTTTCTTTTGATTTTCTTCCTCGTGTTTTTCTCATAATTACTAAGATAAGGCGTGGGGTTTTATAGAATTTCTATTCCCTTGTTTGAACTAGGGGTATTTGAGGATTCGGCCTTTGCTTGGCATCCTTACTTGCGAGGGGCTGACTTTGCGAGGGTCTTACTTGGCGACAGTCGGCGTCACCGTCGGCAAATGAACATAAGTTTATCATAGAAGGCGCAAAAGAACCAATTTATTACAAAATGATACAAAGAATTGAAATCATACCGATCTGCAAGGCTTTGAAGACTGGCAAGTGACTCGTAGAAGTGGGCCTTTCGAAGCAGCCGCTTGATTGCAGTGATAACTCGAACAGCCTGTCAAAATAGAAAAATTTCCAGGTACAACCTACTTGCAATACTCTATATTTTCAGGAATCGTTCTCTGGAAGATTTCCCCTTACAATACAACAACTTACAATGTTTTTTAAAGAGATATCACGCTTCCAGGACCTGAGCATTACTTGTCATTAAGGTAACACCCTTTCAACTCACGTTAAAAAGCCGGTAACACTGCAAAACGTACAGGAAGGATTGCATAAAAGAAGTAACAATCTTGCGAGAAAACAGGATAAATTCGATTGCAAACTCTTTTGAAAACAATCAAACTTACTGGTTCAGTCAAGAGGTACTGGACAATCTCTTCGTACGGACTTCCTTTTCTATCACCTTTTGCTTCCTAAAAAGACCAAATTAAAAACAAATATTAAATTGGCGAAAACAAACAAATATTTTATGATGTTCTTGTTACATTTTAAAATTTTCAGCTGAAAATTATTCATAAATAAAGAAGCAGTAAAGCAGATTACTGAAGCAGGTAGTAATGATCTGACGTCGTTAACTTTGAACAGAAAGTATTCGATATTCTAAATTTTTCTCAAAGAGTCGACAATCCTTGCCAAAATTGTAGGAGCATCAACACAAAATCTTCACAATTTTTTAAAAAGTTATTATCGATATTAGTGTATAGAACAGGAGGGTTTTTAGTTGCAACTCCGCGTTTCAAAATTCTGATAAAAAGTTAGCTGATGATCGCATTAAGCGCGAAACTCGGAGTTGCAGCTTAGTACCCCCCCCCCCTCCCCCCTGTTTTATACACCAAATCAAGCACATTATGACAGACTGGCAAAACAGAAACTTTTATTGTTATCAATATTGCATGGCTTTCGTTGACAATCTACTCAGAACTTGTTGTATAAAAACTTTTAATGGAGGAATCAACATTTTATGGGGGAAGGGGAGAGAATTGGTGGCAGCGTTGATATCTTGGGGACGTACTTAAATCTAGGGGTTGTCACCGTTTAAACGTAAATATTGTTGTGCTACGGATATTTTCGGTAATTTTTCCAGGTCTTTCCGTGCAATGTTGCATTTACAGCAAAGGCGTAAAATGATAGTGTGCCAGGGATTGAAAGCCAAATTACAGAACAAGTATATTGAACTGCTCTTTTCTGAATACAGCTCTTGCTATACAGTCTATTTAAAGTCATCTTCAACTATTTGAATGAAAAATTTATAGTCATTTAAAGTCGTCTGATTTCGATTAAAGCGGCAAGGGCTTGATTTCTTGAGTCCCCCGTGACGAACCCCAGCATCTGAAAATAAAGTGAAAGAAAACCAGCAGAACCAGGCAACAAGACTAATCTACCTCTTTCTTGATATTCCAGCCAAGGAAGTGTTCGATTCCTGCCGTCATGTCAGTGGTGCTGTCCAAAGCTAGAAAACAAATATGGTTTCATCTAAAGATCGTCAAAATTTATATAGATTCTTTCATAACATAAATGCTTTGCTCTTTTCGATGGTGATAAATATGGTAATATAAGTGAACATAAATTTGAGGCTTAGGCTCTGAAACTTTACAGGTAAACTTTTTACGAACCAAAGGGGTCAATAAACAAAAAAATAAACTGAGTACTAAAACAAATTGTTACTCTCTCTAATGACATATTAGAGTGGAAATGGGTTTCGAATGAAAAAAACTCAACTAGCTGGCGCACAATACAAACTCATTACCATTAAACATTGGCAGTATTTCTGCACTATACTTGGTAATTTAAATGAAGCGTGAAACTGAAGTTACCTTGGACGACAAGCAGCCTGATAGAAGAAGCCATGTTCTCGGTTTTCAGCAAGGCTACCAGTTGCCGTTGAATTCCAGCCTCCTTTATATAACAATAACAGTCATTACGTAACTACATTAGGCCAGAAATGTAAGACATTGACGGGGTATCATTTCAAGATTATTCAAGGAGAGATCATTTATGCAAAAAATTATTTGAAGGACAATTTACTTTCCAAGCGCAAAATAAATGTTGTAGAAAAGCTAGCTAATTTGTTGCACACTTAAAATATTATATATAGTTAACGTCTTTTACTCATCGAGCGATATTTTAATCCATTAAAAGTTTCAGGAGCAGTGACTTGTTTTCTATGTGTTTCCTTATTCTTTGAATTTTAGGTGCTATTCACATGAACTTTAGAGATTTATTAGAAAAAAAGGCAAGTTCTGCTTCGGTATGCAAAAAAATCTTCCTTGCTTGTTATGATTACATTTTGATAGAAGAAACACGAAAAACTTTTAAATTTTACCATCATCTTCGTTGAGATGTCTTCATTGCATCTGCAAAGATGGCTGGCTAGCTTGACTCCCGCTTTTAATTGTCTGATGTTCACCCCAACGGGCAACTTCATTGCTTCATTGACATCCAAAAAGAGGCTTGACCATCTGACGAGGACGTCAAGGGCATCTAAGGACAAACCAAGAGAGGATAATCAAAAGATTTTAAAATCATTAGCAAACCACCTTTTCAAACATGCAAGCTTGTAAATGATAATCGGATTTGGAAAAAATCGTTGAACAAAGAATAAATACACACAAACAAATAGAAAACACAAATACACACAAACACACAAAGAACAAACAAATAGAAACAAATATTTTTACAGGATAAAAACTTTAACAGTTAGAATTATTGTTATTGTTGTGTGGCCTAGATTATCAGATTGAGAAGCAGCAACTTATGCCTAAAAAGCCTGTAATTTACAACAAAAAACAAGATATATAAATATCATATGCATTACTACTTTAACTAACGAAAAAAATTTGCAGAAAAAGCAAGATTCCGAGCCAAAACAGAAAGTTTTGTCGCTGTATACTTCACAGATTGATGGTCAGCTCGCATATCCAAATCTCCATGTCAAAAGCCCGGGCTTGGCATATGGTTTTATATACATAATATTATAATGCGGTATAAGTTTCAGCAAAAATTTAGACTTACCCTTATGGGTTCCTTTGCACGTCAAGTATGCCTAAGAGAAAACGGAAATTAATATTTATGGAACTATTTTTTTTCGTAGCAAAAATGGCTGCTACAGATGCTATATAGTTGACACTTTGTTGAAAAGCTTTAAAAAGCACAAAAAGATAAAAACTGGCAACCGATTTATACTTAGATTCAATATATTATGTCATAGCGTAGCTATATGCGATAAAGTTTTATGAATTAAATTGGAAAGAGTAAATATGTAATTGATAATATTACAATCTAGATAATACGAAGAATGGTCATCATCTGTGTAAATCTGCTCTATGCAGTCAATTTCTCTACACATAATACATTTTCTTTCGTTCTATAACTTGATAAACAAACATTTTATTGATTGAATATCATTAAAGGGTCTTTCCATTATCTAGGCTTCGATAATCTATGATATTTATTCAATTCTGAGAGAAAGCGCTGGAGGCACGAATAACATACAGTAGCTCAGCAAGGTGTATGTCATTCATAACAATAACATGAATACAAAGAAACGTAATTTAGATACAGAGGTCGTATGAATTCACATCTGGTTTAACGTCAGCACCAAATCGAAAGGGTTTTCAAAACGTTTGACACACTTACCAATCCTTGGGGTAAGAGAGGGGGTATATCCTCTATTGCAGAAACCAGTCTAAAGATGGAGTTGATCAAAATCATTAAAAATATCACTATAATTATTTGACAAATAATTTACTATTAATGATGAGCCATGGTTTGCTGATCACGGATAAATTCTGTATTGCAAGATTTTTTTAGGAAATTAAATGATCAATATATTGTGGACATTAAGTTTACTAACAATGACAATAAAAATGACAATTTATTCACTAGCTGGTTGGATTGCAAAAGTTTCTATCTTGTAATGAACTATGTCAAAAATCCGAGTTTAGGTTACGTGAACATCTTACTGAATGAGTAACATTGTGTGGAAGGGATAAAATGAACAACATTGTATATTTGTAAACTGCACTTGGAGCACTGCGTTGTTTTTCTATGTTATTTGTTCCGTTTCGACAATATTACTGCTTCACGCCACACAAACCCCCCCCCAACCCAGATTAATGTTGATAGTTCGGTCAAATATCACACAATTCACACGAAAGATGTGCTCTCTTATCTCTCTAATAACAAAAAACCAATGTTCCCAGGGGAGGATGGGGTGAGGCGGGGGCTGAATTCCCTCTTAAAACTGATGATAGCGTTCCAAGACATTTAGCAGCGATCGTAGAATATTCGGATATCCCAAGAAACTAGCTTGGATTACTAAAAATGGTTATACTTAAGTGTCAAAACATAAGACGGTACTTACTTGGCGTTGACTGGAGACCCTTTTAAGTCATTAACCATGGCAAGTAGCTGCTTTGCCTGAAAAAAAACAAACAAACTGTGAAAACGAAGCAGCAACATGAAATGTCTTCGTAAATGCAAATGTCAAAATTGAATGAAATACTGATACACCCAAAGCAACATACTGAGAACTGCATGATAGGCCTTTTTGAACTGAAATTCGATATAACTCAATTAAACCTTTTTCATGTAATGTAACCTAAAACACCATCTAATTTGTATTATATGTGACCTTGTAGAATGAGCTTAAAAACGCTGTAAATTAACAAACAAAAAATTCATTATATGGTATAAATTTACCTCAGAGGCCCCTGTGACTTCCTCCTTCCCAGATGCTCCTGAAACAGTAAGAACAAAAACCTTTAATAATACCAAATTTAATGTATCTTAAATGTTAAGCTAAGTATGGTATAACGTTCATTCTTAAAATGAAGAAAAACATTTGCGAAAATAGAGCAAGAAATTCAGCCAAAACTTTGCTTCAGCCGACTAAACACCTAGTTTTGCTTACGCACAAAACAGCACGCACTAATCCATACCTTCAAGTTCTTTTTCAACAGTTTTATGTGCAGTGTCAAACTCTGAGAGGCCAGGAACTTCAAACGACTAAAATTGCAAAATTTAGAACAATACAAAAAGAAATTAAATAAAAATTATTAGAACTATGTACAGTGTATTAAGAAGACACCATTTTTAAATAAATGGATATTCAAATGTTTTGCCATCTTCAAATTATGAGGTGAAAAATGTTCTATAATTCCAGGATGTTAGCTTAAATTTTCATGATTTTTGATTGGCAATATCTAAATTAAAATGGGGAGTTCGAAAGAATTCACATTAAATTTTTTCTGGGACGAAATGAAAAATACAAAGGGACCTTTCGGATATTGCCAAAGGGTTTTTAATCTTCTAAGCTAAACTTTGCGTTGTTCCGGGACGGACTCGAATAATAGTGAGAAGAAAATTTGTTTAGTTTTAATAGATCTAAACGCTAAACGATTAGCCATCGAATAAATCCACCCAAGTTCTCTCCAATCCAGAATACAAGGGGTGGGGGATCTTGAATAAACGGGATGGGTGGAAAATTTCCCAAATAATAATAAACAAAAAGACTTTTATTTCAGACTCGAGAGTATATTTCGAGTATTTACCTCAAGAGTTGACAGATCACATTGATACGGGTTGAAACTAACAGAGACCGACATCCACGTGTCTTCAGTTCCGTAAAATTCAAGCTCTTGAAAACTGGACAGGTCGGTTGGGTCTTCAAAGTCAAAGTCATCAAAATTGTCCTACATCGAAGCAAGAGAGAAAATTTACTAAAGACAAAAATAAAAGACTTAAAAAGCATATCAGCAAGAGAACGTGGTGGCAAAAATTTCATTTGCAGATACTGGAAGTATTTTTTTAACACCTGCAATATTTCACTGAATTATGAAAATAAAACATTAATTTAGTAACAATAGACAATTCGAGGCAGCACTTATAGTCAACAAAGTAAACTTTTCGTTAAAAATAGCCAAAATTAGCAAAGCAAACTAAAGTTTAGTAGGTTAAAGCCATCATTAAAAAGCGAAAAACGCATCGAGCATTTTAGAGTTGTGCAGAGTTGCGAAAAAGGAGCACAGATGCGATGAAAAACGTATCCATGTCTCACCTCATCACTTTCAATGTCTTCGTATCCAATCTAAAAAAAATAAATAAAAAATTTGAGTACATGGCACGCATTTCTAAACATTGATTGTAACCAAAACAAATCAATTTCTGGTAAAATATCTTCAAAAAAGCTTTCGAGAGGGAACCTTCACATCAGAGGTATTCTTGATGTAGATCTAGAAATTTAGGCATTCTAGAGGTATTCTAGTCTTTTAGGCAAGGGAAGCATCTTACTAAGCATGGATTCATAGGTATTCTTTTTCATTAAAACAATCTAGAACACAAGAAATTCCATCATACTGTGCCATTCAGAGCAGGGAAATATTAACCTCAACTGCTCCATACTTTGAAGTGACGGTTGAAGAAACCACATTTGATGTCAATTTTCCTAATATTTTGACAGAATACAAATCAATAATGTGTGTCGATATATTTCTTCTTTAGATATCCTACAAAAGCTTTTATGTTCAAAAAGCACTGACTTGATCTTTGCAAGAGTACACTCTTGAAAGACGTGTTCAAGAAACATCTGGTTCAGCATATGGCCGCCATATTAACGGTTCAAAAATATTCTATGCAATGCATCTAAGAGACGAACCTAAAATATATAGGTTTTTTCACCCAGGCGGACTAACAAAGATTTTTGGATCCTAACGCTGCCCTCAAAACAGAAGCTAAAATCATCATCGTCCCTGTTTTGACTATCATTTCTCAGCCTCTTCAAAAGAATTTGCCAATCTTTTCGAAGGAATTTTTAAAAAATATGTCAAAACAAAATCGTTTGTCAAAGAATGGGTTCGCTTAAAATCACTACCTCGTCATTAGCACCGTCGTTTGCAATGTCAATGAAATCTGAATCTTCAGGGCTTAGCGGTTCAAATAAACTGTCCAAACCAGCTTGAGGTGAGTCCTGGTAAAAAAGATCATCCCTTATATAAAAGCATTGTTAACGCAGACAAACAACATTTAGTATTTGTTATCTAGGGTACGTGAAATACTATTAAGGAAATGGATATGATACCAGACTTCCACAGGCGTAGAACATATGACTGATACGAGTTAAGGTAGTAGAGCAACAGATATTTCCTGGTCTACGTCACCTTAACTGTTAACCCCCTTCATTAACTATGCACACCTTAATGGAACCCGTGTTGTTGATTTCAAAGGTATCACTGAATAGCTCTTTATCAACTAACTTTATCATACAAGACGCGGTGGACTTTTAAAATACCTAGGGCATAAATTTAAGCGGGATACAAATTCATGTCTAATTTTAACTGTACCAGCTACAATATGATAAATCGAGCTATAAAATGGATCAAAGGAAGTTTCCAAACAGCATGAATATTTGAGACAATAAACGTTTTTTCAAAAGTTTAGTAGTAGATCACACTTTAGACTGAAGAATAGCAAGAGACATACATCTGAATTATATCCAGGTGTATTCATAATAAGCAGACAAATAAAGATTTTTTTATTCTAATAGCATTGGAATAAGGACCAACTGTGCCCACGAGACAGAAGCTAAAATCCTTTTAGTCACTGTTTTGACCCTGATTTTCCAGGTTTCCTGGTCCCATGACCTTCCAATGAAAATCTGTACTGGTGCATTAGTGCATTCAATAAAATCTATAACCTTGAACCAATTTGGTGTACTTACCTGGGCTCGCTCACCTCCATCTTTAGTAAACCCTTTGGATTCAGATGTTTCGCCTATTGACTTGACTGCAGATCCGCTGCCTTGCTTACGCTTATCATAACCCTTACCACGTCCTCTTTCCCCTCCATCTCTCTTGTCCTTTCTCTCTGCACCCATATCTTTCTCTCTATCCCTACCATCAAGCTGGCCATCGCGCTTATCTTTGTCCTTCTGCTCATCGCCTCTACGATTTGGCTCGCTCTTATCTTTCTGGTCACCATGTTTCTGATCGTAATAGCCTCTTGTGTCTCTTGGTACACTGTAATCTGACTTTCCAGCACTAATTCCAATGGCAGCAAGCTCTCTTCTTTCACGATTAAGGTCAACTTCTCTTGATACAGCAGCAATTTGCGATGGTATTGCTGACATTGGATCCCGCTGGGTTAACCCAAACATTGAATGCTGTGGAGGAGGTGGCGGCGGCACTTGCTTGTTGTCAATGACAACTTCTGTGAATTCACCATAGAGACAGACTGTCAGAGTGGAGTACCATCCTCTGAGAAGTACCACATTTGTAGCCAACTAAACGGGTGAAAGATGACAATGCCAGCAATAACCTCTCTTAAGTATTACGCAAACTTGTGCTATTATTAAATTTAAACACAAACAATCTTAAAAGTAATTGATTTAATGAATTTATTCCGAAGATGATTTCATTATCTGTAATAATAAATGTCTTGAACTGAAGTCTGTAAGAGCAGTTTTGGCTATCAATAAGTCTCCATGTCAAGAAAAAAAGCAAAACTATGTCACTTCATAATTAATGTTATTAATAGTGAGAAACATTGTCAATAGATTCCATTATTTTTAGGGAAATCTCGCTGAAAAATAGTTTCTAAAATATCACAATTGAGAGAGGGGGGAATTCCTATGAAATGGAACATAGACATAAGTAATTTTGACAAACAAACATAATTTGGATCAATGTAACAGAACTTTCCTGTATATCGTGAGACAGCGAAATTTAATGAAAATGCCAATTTGTAAAAACCAAGCATTCTTCAAATGTAACAAAAAAGATTTGTAGAACGAATTATATGTCAGGCGAAAAAAGAGTGCTTTGTAGACTTAATGAAGACAATATTTATTGCAATGCTAGAATAAACTAGTTCTGGCATTGTGATGGTGCACAAACCTTGGAATTGGCAACAAGGCGAAATGACTCTCCATCTTTATACTCCAATCTAAATAAAATTATGATCAAATTAAACTTATGTTTAATCCGAAATAAAAAGTTATGAAATAATTAATATCATGCAAAAATAAGATTGCACTGAAAGCAAAGTAAAGGTTAGAAAAAATTGTCTCCTGATTTATCTTGCATCTTTCCAGATTAGATGTTCTCTGGGCATCTTCTACTGCTTGCAAAAATCCTTTAAAACCAAAATTAGAAAACATAGGAATAGAACATTTTCACTGAAATTCTGTTGAAAGCACTTCACCAACTGTGACTCATGTTTGGCAATAACAAAAAAAACATTGTTTGAATGCAATCAAAGTAACAAGTGAAACACAAAAATTATATCCTTCACAAATACTCAAGGTTTCTTGAAACATTAGCATAATAGAACTGTCTTTTGTGACATGCTAAGCCAAATTGAAAATTTTGCATTGGATCAATATGGCTCATTTCAAAGTTTTAGGCACATAGTTTCAGTGTATGAAACAAAGACACTGAATCTCAGGGTTTCTTATCAATGATAAAATTCAGGAACAAATTAAATAGAACGAATACTAATCTTTCGCCCCGGCATAAAGGGCTTCATCAGAGTGAATAAAACGAATGAGTGAATGAATTTGAAACATGAGATGGTGATGCCAGAATGGTTGATGTTGAATGGTGTGAATGCAGCGCAGCAGAGAAAAATGGGATGATGGAAGTGGGGGAGGGAAGGGTGGTGAATGATGTAAGGGAATGGGGGTGGTGCTGTAGAGATGGTGTAATGGGATGAGAATGACAACTGTGAATATGAATATGAAAACAATAATAATAATTGTGATAGAAATGAAATTGATGGTAATGTTGATAGTAGTAATGGTTGTGATAATGATTATAGTGATTATAGGAAAACATGGTGTGGGTTGTGAGTGAGGCGTGATACGTGAAATTTCTTATCGAATTGATAAACTGCAAGTTCAAAAGCTTACGTTCCAAGTCTTTCAAAGACTGTTGCATTTGGTCTATTCAAATTCTTCACAAAGGTTTCTAGCTTGAATGAAGATGGTGATGTCTCCCTGCAAGTAAAACAAGTCAGAAAAAAAGTTAAAGCTTTTATCCATTCCAAACATCAAATACAGCACTAAGATAAGACCATATCAAAGCATAAACAGCCAATGGAATTTATTACTGTAATTTTGTTGTCCAATAATAAATTAATTTCAAATATTTTCAAGTATTTTGCATGGATACATCATCTGCCCTTTCTTTACCTCATTCCCATGACTAAATCCATTCTTAAAACTTACTAATTCTTAGATACAATAGCTATCTATTTTAGCAAACCTTGCATTCAAACCTTTAAGGAGCAATATTTTTCCTTACCTATTTTTTGATCTAAAAACCACAAAGTCTAATAAACTTCATCAAAAAATGAAAACAACTATATGTATACCACTAAAAATATTTGCCTTTAATAAGTGCAAGACAATTTGATTCAAATATTATATGAATTACTATTAACTAAATATAGAATACCTATATAAATTTTCTACTAAACATCTTTTGTATTATGTGGCATGTGATTGCATGCACTAATCTCTACACACCCCCAAATTGCACAAGGTCTGCAAAATATCGTACATGCAAAATAAAAATTTTGCCCAACCAAATCTCTTAAAAATTCAGCAGCCCTAAATTTTGAAGATATGTTTCAAATGTTTATGAAGCTGCAGGATGTCAAAGTTACAAAATTTAAAGGAAGTTCCTTCAGTTTCCAAGGTGTTAAAGTATTCCTATACAGGATATACTAACAACGTCACAAAGCAGTTACAAATTCTAAAGCTAAGTTTACATTTCCTCTCAGCCTAAAAAATCCTGAAATGCAAATAGCTTTTTGGCCTGAACAGTGGATTATCTAATAAACAATTAACCAAATCTTTTTCCATGTGAAACCATCTGGCTGAACAAGTACAGTCTTTCATTTTATGAGAAATACCACTCTAACTTATACCTCAGAAATATAATGAATGCAAGGGATTTAAATAAAGCACCTACCCAAACTTATCTTTGATCTCTGTGTGAATTCTGCATCCATGAGGAATTACTCTTACCTCCTGGATTGCAACTGGTCTGGGAAAACCAACCAGGTCAAGATGCATTTCCTTCAAATAAAGCAAATTACAAAAACATATAAGAATGAATATTTGTATAACATAAATTTGCTCATACTTTTGGGAGGGTGATAACATTGGTTTGATCTCAAAATTACTATCATGTACATTTTCTCATATTTCCTCATATTTCTGCCCTCATATTTCCTTTGATAACCTTAGGATCTTACATAGTTGTGTGCACAAATATGCACAATTGTACACTAGGGTATCAAAGTATTGCACCACCTTTTTCAAAATGGCGGCACTTTTTGTCATGTATTAGGCGAAATAGGTGTATTTAATACCAAATTTTGGCAGGAAAAGTTTGCAAATCAACTTAGTTAGAAATGTATGAATTACACCAAAACATTTTTGATTGTCAAAATGTAGACTATGCCTAAGGGGGAACAATTATCAAATGAGGGGCGAGTCGTCTTTATTTTTTGAAAAAATGTTGAAATGGCTAGATGCAGCCACACAACAGCTGCAGTAATGAAGAAATCGAGAATTGGGCAACCAAAAAAATTGATAGCAGCGGGGAGAGAATTTGTCTAATTTTCATCTCACTGCATTTACCTGAGTAAACAGAAACCATTATTTACATAGATTTATTTCAAAACAAAAGAAATTAAAGCTTTGAAATAGTCAGAGTAAAGTCCAATTTTGAACATCACTTAAAAGTTTGACTTCAAATGAAAAACATTACAAACCATGATCCAAATTGTTGCCCAAAAACCAGAGAATCATTAATTGTAAGAATTTTCCAGGCCTAATACAAAATTCCACAAGAATACGTTGCCCAAATATATGGATCCATTTCAAGGAGACTTTTTGCGGTTTCAAAAGTTTGTTGCTACCCGTCAAAATATTGAAAATTTGAAACTGTTAAAAGATATTTCCTACTGTTATTTATTAAACAAATGCTTTAAGTAGATTGAAGTTTTGATTGGTGGTTGTTTTGCTTTCGACCAATTGCCATTTGGCACTTAAAAACACATTAAACCAAAGTGCACACTTGCACACTTAAAATTTTGCTAGCACACCCCCGAGATCGCGTTGAAAACTGCCGTGCCGTACTCTGCAGCACACCCACGTAAAGTTATTTTTCTTTCTGAAATTTTAGTACATATGATGCATTAAAAGAGTAATTAAAGCTCAATTTTACAACATTGCTGTCAAGATGAAATAAAAAAAAGTGCATGTACCTATAATTATACCAAGTTTGCAAAGCTTTATATACTAGCATAAATATAACTAAGGATCAGATAGTCAATGATTAACAACGCGAATCGCCACTCACCTCAAGTTCTCCTGCATGTTGAAACGTATCAAAAAATAGAAGAGATGGACTGTGAAACTTGGTGTTGGCCATGGCTTCGTTTGCGACCATCTTTAAAAATAGGCCACTGAATGGATCTCCTGCGCAGCATCTCTTTAAGTCTCCTAATGAAGAAGAGGTCTCAGATTGAATGGCGGGAAATCTACCTGGGCTGTAAACACAGATATTTCTGATTGGAAAATACTATTTTGCCTGGACGTAAAAGTAAGTTGCTTTTTTCCTATTAACGAAAGTGTTAAAAAAAGGTCTATTGATATAAAAGTATTCGGTTTTAAACTTAAAATGCGTGTAAAATGGCTTCGATTTTCAAATAAGAAGACGGTTATCCCGATCCTTCTGAATTCAAGTTGATTTTGATGGTTGTAGAATTCTCCATGAATGAATAGCTTGTCAATGTTTGTACAAAGGTTGCTCTTCTAATGGCACAGTCTGATTCTTCTTTTCATAAAAAGTATAGTCCATTGACTGGTAGCTAATGCTAAATCTATTGTAATATCTCATTATCTTATTGTAATATTTTTATAGAGCAATAATTCGATTTAATTAATATACAAGTTCAATCTCATTTACAATCAGCAGTACGAAAAATCACCATAGCATGGTTTGTATTTTTTTGCAGTTTCCAATCTCTGAAAAAATATTGTAAATTTCTGAATACACTTCAGCAAATATAAATTTTGTTTTATAAGATTGCATTTGGCTCAAAAACTCAAGTGAGCTATTAAGCAAAATGCAATTTCAATTGAACATCAAATTATAAGTCATCCAAATTGAATTAGGTTATACAACAGTACTTAATCCAGGCCTGGCCGTTTGTATTTTTATAGGTGAGCTGTGAATCGCTCCCCTCATTTGCTGAGGCGAGCTAAATCAGTAACATAGAATGTACTTTAAAGACAATCGACAGATGACTTAATAAGCCCCTTTAGTATCTGTCGGTTGCCTTAATGTAATAGCCTCAGTCAAGAGTGTGCTGTTTTACTTCTTTCAATTTGTATTTGCTTTAACCGTGACTTAGGCACCCCCTTTACTTGAAGTATTTAAAAGAACAGACTCTTTCAGTTTCATGTAAAGCTGGCACAACACAAAAACAACAATTCTCTTGCAAAACAATCTTTTTGTTGTACAGAATTTGAAAATGGCTTTGAAAAAAAAATGTTTAAAACAAGCTGAAGTTATACGCCTAGCACTCTTCAGATAATAAAACGTCAAAACATAGATGGAAAACTCTACGCTAAAATATCCAGTTTTGGATCGAAATAGGCCAATCAGAAAACGCGAGCACATGACTGTTGAGGTTGTCCAATCAGTGCCGCTTTCCTATTGAAAATGTTACCAACGGAGTCCTAAGATGAAAACGAACTCACTTATGTCTACACAAAAGCGGTTGGTCATGTTTATATAGTAGATAAATTCACAAACTGCTGGATAGAACGAAGATCAGGCTTTGCCAATAATGCCAAACATGTTGCCGTTATAGTTTTCACCCAATCTGGGTTTTTCAGTAAATGCCACTGGATAGTGGAATTCCATGTTTTTGTTGTCGTTTTTGATCTGCAAGACAGAGTACCTTGTTCTCTTTGAGGGATAGTTTTGTTTCTATTGCTGGAAGGGACCTGCTGTCTTATTATATCCCCAATCTACAATTCCTACCAATTTCTTCGACTTTCCTTCCAAAAATATTCCTGTTTTCTTAAGATTGAAAGGTTCTAATCGCTACAAACGTACCTTTCGGTTAACTATCCTTTTCCAAATAGATTGAAGTTTATGTCTATCATAACAAAAACCGCCCAAAAAGCAAAAAGTTGATTGCAAAAAATGCAATGACGGGAGAAATCGCTGCTATAAAAAAAAACCAATTAACCCTTGTGCGTTTTCATAATTCTCTGAATAGGAAATTTTAGGGGAGCGATTCTTCCTTCATGTTCTGTATAGGAGAGCAATTCATAGCTCGCCTCAGGTTGCGAGGGGAGCGTGGAGGCTATCGCTCGCCTCAAACGGCCAGGCCTGTTAATCTATCTAATCTAATCTTAATGTTTATAGTACAGTCCCAATAATGGGTATTGCGTACTAGCGGTTAGTAGGTTAATCTTAATAATAGAAAAGCTATAAAATTAGAAAATAAACTGGTCAGCACTGCTGGATTGGTAAGCGTTTATACACTGAAAAACTTTGTTAATTTTGAAGTTTGGTACACCAGTTTTAATAAAAGACACTCCCTGTGATTTAGCCTAGATCCACTCCCTGTGATTTAGCCTACTTCCTGTTGTATACTTGAAAATATCTGTGGTTTTATTGAATTCATACTTAATAGTGTTGTCTGACACAGTTTTCTCTGTTTGTGATAGAATAAAGCTATAGAAAGTTGAAAATGGATGCAGCAGAGGCAGAATTTATTGCAGAAAAAGAAATAATAACAATCATTCCAAATTTTAAAGGAAGCAAGTTGTTTCTTCTTAGTGTAAGTATCAAGCCTTCTATTGTGTTCTCCAAGCTAACATGAACTTGATCACCATTTTTTTACTAACTTTTTAAACCAACTACTGCAATGTTTTTGAATCTCTCCCTCTTTGGATGATATTAATATAAAAACTAGCATTTACATCTAGATTAGTGAACTTGGTTTCTTGATTTGGAATAATTACCACATTTCCAATAAACACAGTACAATTTTTACAGCAGCATACTTGCTGAGTGAACAATGACCCTAAAATAAATTTTTAATGATTGGCCAAATTATTTTTTGAATCATATCTCAATTTTAATATGTTGTAGGAGGTGCTCAGCCCTTTTTTAGGGGTGCTGTGGCTTGCAAGGTGTTCTTGGGGGTAATCAGCCTGTTCTTGGAGAGTTCAGTCTTTTAGAAATGTTGTTTGTTGCCTTTGCTATGAATCTTTTTGCATAAACTACATTGTGAGTTTCGTCTCTTGTCTCTCCAAGTGTGATATAGGACCATTCAAACCTGGCATACCAACAAATGTACCTGTTTGGGTAGCAATGAATTTAAAGCAAAGACAAAAGTGCAGGCTTTCTCCTCCAGATTGGTTAAGTGTTGGTATGTCATTCATTTTCAAATCTCTAGCTTTTTCATCAATCTTTAATTGGATTAACGATAATGCCTTTTTTTAATCATCAATGTTTTTGGTTTTGCAGCTCTAAATATATTTTTACAGAAATCTCTAGATTGAGTTAAAAAATTTGTTACAGGCCAGTTTATTTCTTTGTTTCCGGAACATGCATACACATTCATTATCCTGAGAAACAGAATGATTTGTACTAACAATTTTTAGATTTTCCAAGCCTTCTAATTTTAGATGAGTTATTCCCATTTTCTATCTCTCACTAATGCCTGAATAACAATTTTTGTGAGCCCCTTAAAGAAGGTGCCTGGCCATTGCATTGTGCAAAGAAGCTTCTTTTTTACTGTTATTTATCATTTATTTATTACATACTTTTACAATTAGAGCGATTATCAGAATTTAAAGATGAGGAAAGTGTGTCAGATGTTTTCATAAAGCCTCCCTGTTCTTGTTATATGGAATTGGCGTCCATGCTCTTAGGCAGGTAATTTGGGAAAATTATTTAAATTTCCTGCTAATTTATCTATTCTGGAGTTATTTCTTCTGGGTTCTGTCACAATACACTATTTCTGGAAAAGCAGTTTCATTTCCAGGCCATTATCAGTGTTTGATAATGATTTTCTTGTTGGTTTTTTCATGTAGTGATTGTAAATTCAAGGGTAGCAACTAGAAAATAGCTAGTTTTTGAATATCACTCTTATTCTGGGAATGAGTATTTTAAATTTTCCCTAAAGACAGAACTATTCTGGCAATGATGTTTTCTCCACTTTTTGATAGCCAAACTTGATAGCTTCCTTAACTTGGTATTGATTCCTTAATTTTAAACATCATAGATTGTGTTCTTTCTTGCATATCCATAATATGCTGTCTTTGTGAAGATTTCAAGTTTGGTTATCATGAATTATAATAAAATCATTAACTAAAAATTATATTATGTAATTTTAAAGTTGTTCAGATGACATCCCACAAGCTGATACTGTAAAAACACTTATAAAAGATGTTTGGGACATTCGAACTGCCAAACTGAGGAAATCAATAGATCAAATGATTTCAAAGCAAGAAAGACATGCACAGGTTTGTATAATCTTATATAAAAATGTAAATATGTAGGTGCGAGGATGGCTCAGTTGCTAGAGGCCCTGACTACAGACCTAAGGGTCTGTGGTTCGAGTCCCTGGCATAGCCAAACTTTCACCCAGAGCAAGGAGAGTCGCTAGCTCTCTGTAATTCCAGGCGTAGGAATCACGAGGTGTGGTCACATCGAGAGGAAGGACCAGGACACTGTTCGATAAGCATAAGCTTCTCAGTGTTCTAAAAAACTACCTTCGGATGCTAGGTAGAAACAAATACAAATACAAATACAAATCATTATATATTTTATTCATCTTATCTGTATGTTACAGAGTACTGTTGCTGGAATTTCTGTGCTTATAAGTTTCTTTCAAGCGAATAGACTTCTGCATCAAGATTCTCAATACATGCATCTTGTTATGTTGCTTTCAAGGCACCTAGCTTTTTATAATTGATAATCTAACTCACAATTTATCCCGATATCTTAGATCATTTTGTAGACTTTAATTTTATTTAATGAAAGTTCCAATAATAAAGTAATTAAGTAAGTTTTTGATAACATGAAATTTGAAAATGGCATGAAAAAGTGGCAAGTAAGCTTTCATTATTAATCACAACACCCACCCCATGAGTTCACATGCATGAGTTGAAGTTAAATACATCATCAGCTCATTAGCTTAGGTAATTCACTTCAAGCTTTTGCATTATTGTTGATTCCTTTGTAGATTGACAACTTGACAATCATGGAGATCAATACAATTAGGAGTATACTAACAAATGCATTAGATCACATGCATAATCTTCGCTGCTATGTTGCTCAGCTACCTGATACCTGATATGCATGACAGCAAAATTTTCACAACATTGATGCCATGAAAAGGATAATGCCAAGGCACTAGAAATGTATTTTCCATGTACTTTGATTACATGTTTTAGCTATTATCAGTCTTAAATTTTGTGTAAATATGATCAACATTTTGTTTTTATGGCCTCAACTCTTCAAATACTTACAATAGTCTTAATTCTTTTGTGTTTAGAACATTATCAAATGATATTGGTTAACTATTTTAGTCTGTTTAGAAATTGTATTCAATTTACATTACATCAAAACATATTTGAAGATTATTTTAGAAATTATGACAAACATTTTGTGATATTTATACAATATGTGTAAAAACCATTGGTTAATTGGCAGAGGAAAACTTTTAAAAAATAAATTTAATAAGTACCAGAAATTTTTGCCCAAATTCAGAAACCATACAATATTTTTTGTTGAAGGGAGTACCATAAATAAATCAGCTCAGAAAGTTTTTTATTTACCTGACCTTATTTTCTGGATAGTTCTGAACTGCTATACATTTTTCTAATTTGAAATCCTTCTGTTTTTCAGCTGATTTTCTCATTAATTTTTCCACAATGTAAAATTGATTATCTCTATAATAACTGAACTAGCTCCAGACCTTGAATAAACATTTATTTCAAAACTACAAAAATTTTCCTGTAGTTAGTTGCATTTATATGGTACCTAAATAAAGTATCCATTTTATATGGTAAAGCAGTGTTCAAAACTTAATTCAAAATTAAATCAAAATTAATATCTTAATAATAACAACAAAAGAAATGAACGCTATTATAAATCCTCAGTCCAGTTAGAAAAACTTGCAATAATATGTTTAAAACCTATTTTGCAGGCACTTTAACAATATTGGGATCCAATGTAAAACAAATGATCTTTAAAGCAAAAAGAAAAATTAAACAAATAACTAAATTAGATGATTTAGTTTTACTTTTTTACATTTTTTTAAATAAACATTTAGTCTGCTGCTGATGATTAAGTCAATTTCTGATGATTAGGAGAGTTCAGTGTAATGATGTCACATAAATGCCAACTTGAGGCACAAACATGCAAGTTTAAGAGTAAAAGATTGAATTGGGGGAAACATGCTGAATGATACTATGTTATGTCTTTTGTTTCTGCCTTTTTATGGCATGTTGATACTCCTGAAGATTTTGAGTTTTTGGGGCTTCAGAATTTTTGTTCAGAAAAGCCGAGAACAAAAGAGTATGAAATTGCAATTTTTGATATAGCACTTTGTCTTAATGTTGTTTTTGGTTTTATTTCTGTGAAAGAGTCAGTTGCTTAATATCAAACAAGCAGAGATCCATGTGTGAACCCAATCTAGTTAGTTCCGAGTCTAGTTAATGTAATCCTTATGTCTATTGCTAGTAAATGACCAATTCATAAACCAGATTGCGCTATTCCTGACATTTTGCCTTTCTTTGGGAGTCAATCTTCTACCGCCGTTTGTCAACTCAAACAAACAATCTTATCATAATTACTCAAAATCAAGTTCTTCGATTAAATTTTTTAATGATTTATTTTCCCATCAGCGCCCTGGGTCATCTTCCCACTTTATATAGGTTGCCACTTTGATCTTTGCGCGACAATGCTGCCGTGAAAGGTTTTAGTGCGTAGGTTTTGAAGAATCAGGGGGCAGCAAGAGGGGGAAGAGGGCCCAAAACCAAAGCGGTCCAATATTCTAGAGGGCCACAAACCAAAATGTTGCAGATCGTACCGAGTTCTAAAATGTGCGCAAGTTGCCTCTTAACCCTCTCTCCCATGATTGCGTTGGTTTGTACATGTTTGTGCGTTATCTCTGTGCGTTATTTTTAATAAAGTCATTTCTATATATTGGTAAAAAAATGCTGCCCCTACCCCATGTCAAAGTCCTAAACACCCAATGTGAAGACTCGCGATGTGCCCAAATTATAAGTTGTTGTTATAATGCTAATTTATTTGACAGATTTACCGAGAAATAACAAATTCATTATCAGAAACAACTAATCTTGTTTAATGATAAATATCAATATTATTGCCAACATCTTTATGAATTCAAAAATGATTCTACAATGGGTGATCTCGTTGAAGCAATGTGAAAGAACTAATCTTACTGTTATAAGTTCCTTGAAGTTTTTCAATTCCTTGGACGATATCGTGAAAACACAATTCTACAATCTTTGCATTATAAAATTCTTTAATGTGTAGCTATAAGATAGAGTCGCAGCTAAATTACAACTCAATGTCTGACCCACTCCTGGCCTCTTCTGACGGTCTCATCTTGACAAAGCTTAACATCTTCGAGCTAACATCTAACATCAAATACTTGGCCAGTTAGCATCTTCGAGCTAAGAAAGTGCTAGAATCAGAAAATGGCCTTAAAAATGATGTGTTTATTGCTTGTGGATTTAAAAGAATATTTCTTACCCGATGTGAATTTTTAAGGAAATTTCAGAGGTTCAGTAATCTTAGTTGTCCTTTCCGCTTAATCGAAGCATGGATATAAACAGAACGTCTGTATATGAAAGTAAAGACTCCAGGACTTAAAATGACATTTACAAAAATAGCAAAATGGATCTATCTCAGTCCAGGGATCAGTGGCTAGCCAGTAAACTCTTCGTTATCTTCTTGTAAAGACTGACTCAATGCTATATCCCAATAATGTTCAACATTGTGCTTTTTTAAGAATTCTCTTGCTTGGATTTCAGCAGGAAATGGCTTCATTACCCATTCTTTAAAATTTCTATCTTGATTTATTCCCTGTAAAATACAAAGAATTAAAAATTTCCATGAGCAAAATATAACAAAACGCATAATCTGCTAAAGTTATTTTATAAAAAATATTTTATGATGAACAAAAGTAAGCATGATTATCATACACACCAACAAACAGATTTCAAAGTTTATATGACAAACAGAGAATGGTTGTGAAATGCTCCTAGACCTGAGAGATGTGCTGGAGACGTGCTCGCATATGTTTTGGGGGAAAGTAGTAAATTATAAGTATGTATAAATTTAGTTAATCGCGTGGTTAATAAACCAAATTAGATACTTAGAGAAAAAAGTAGGAACAATCAATACACACAGTAAATCGCAGTAAAAAACCGTAAGTTAAGAAGATTGGTATAATAATCAGTATTATTAGGTAAATGGAGCAATTTCGGATAAAAGATCCATAAAAAACAATAAAGTAGAGTTGGAGTAGAGTCGCTCGTAGGGTAGGTAAAGGACGAGCGAAGTAGAGTCGCATAACAATTGAATGTGGAATTCAGCAGAAAATTAAAGATGTACGAAAACGAAACTGTCTTTTTCTTGAGAAATTCTGTTCACTTTTGAAACCTCTTTCGAATCAGTAGAGTGAAGCAATTAATGCAACAAGAGATCGGTGAATAATCTCTGGGAAGGCTCTACTAGTCTGTGTCACAGACAAGCGATAAACAGCTAAACAAAACAGTTTATGAAAATAACTTTTATTGCCTGATTCATAATAGTCTCATCCCATTATTTTTAGAACTATCACAAAAATCTATCATGGGTCACATATGAGCAAATCTATTGTGGCATTCTTAGGCTGCATTTTACGAGAACGAATAAACTGAAATAAAAGCATTGATCCAGTGTTAACTACAAATAAAATTTCACAACTTTTGAAAAGATATACGAAAGGTTTTTATGAATTGCTTCTGAAATTGTTCCTATTTCCTTTTAATTATGAAAATGTCGTCACAGTAAGCAGGGCATGAAAATACCAACCTCCCAAACAAGACTGCATTTATTCATCCTTTCGCTTGTCTCATCGCTACGTCCTTTTTTCTTTCGCTTCTTGTCCACTTCATCTTCCTCCCATTTTATTCTGTGTAACATCAGCCGCTTCAGTTTTTTCTGAGCTTTAGGCCCACATTCAAAGACAACAAGATTCGTGTTTTTAACTAACAATGCACACCCTAGATGGACAAAAGAAAAACAATACTGTTAATAAATCAGAAAAAATCTTAGCTCAAAATATATCTCAGGGATAATTTAAGCATGACAAAACAGGAACGATTGAATAAAATTGCAGAGGAATTTCTGATGTTGTCCTCTTTGAAGCAAATTATTTTGTCTTTGGTTTTAAACTAAACAATAACCAGTCATAAACTAATTTGGCAAGAGGTGGGACACGAAAATTTGCAAAAAACGATGAAAGCGATAATATAGTTAGCAAAGATAAAAAAATAACGATGCTCCAAACGTCGTGTTTTCAACTGTCAATTAATTTATTTCATTCTGGTACTCAATCTATTTGCTAACTACAAAATCGTTATTTTGGATGAAGTACCACACGCAACGTACATATTTAAGGCGACATGAAAAGCCTGAAGTGGGTTGGAGGGCTGAGCCAACTTTCTTAAAAGCAATATTAATTTCGCCCAGTGTAAAAAGCAATAAATCATGCTAAACTTAGCTGCTACTGATTATCAGGAAGATATTACATAGATGTTTATATTAATACATAAAATTGTGGTGTAGGTCAGTTTGGAAGAACTTCTCACCAGTTGCAAAGAACTGCTGGGCGTTTTTGTCCACCTTGAATTTCTTTGCTTGATCAGATAAATCTCTGAGTCTGTAAACTGCGACGTGCACACCCGATGTGGTATCTTCTTGGATCTTTTTTATTTTCTTCGCTTTTCGTTCTTCAGGAGTCAGTTTTCTCTCAGCATTGGCTTGCTCGTGTGCTCTGTAAAAAAGTTACTGCTTAACAGAGAATGCCATAGCTCTTAGGTAAAATGCAATAGGTACCCACAATGCAATGTGTCTTGCTTATCAAGGATGATATAACTAACTTTTACATGAATTTTTTAAGTTTGTTCTTGTCTTATGTGTACTGCGACCAACCCCTGCCCAAAAGCCTAGGTTTTACTAGTATTTAAAAAATTAATAAAGTCACATCACAGTTTTAGAAGATTGGCTGACTTTAAACAATCAATGCGAAAAAGCTCATGTTAGAAAGCCTCAAACATACAAAATGAGTTCACATACTTCTGTCGCTGTGCCATTTGTGCCCGAACATGTGCTTCTACTTTGGTGGGATCTTGCACTGCCTCGCTGGCCAAAACTCGCATCAAATTAGAAATTTTCACTAAAAGGAGCAGTAAGAAAACAAATCTAAAACAAGCAAAGTCAACTTAATCAGACAATCTAAAATCACGTTTCTAAAAAATATGCATTTGGAAATTTCTCTTGAAGGGTTAAATAAAGGGCCAAGAAGGGTCCGTTTTATGAGCTCTACAGGTATAGCTACAGGAAAAATATTTCAAATTTGATTTTCAGTGGTTCGTTGTCATGCTGTCTTTCTCAGAAATTGCTATTCAACACTACCTTTTGGCGGAGGTGGGGGTATTAACCCCAGCCTGATTTTCTCCTGCTTTTCTTTTTCTTCCGCGCGCCTTCGCTGCATGCGAATTTTCTTCCTTTCTTTTTTCGTCAAGAAAATTTGCATCTGAGGTACCTGTTTTGGTTCAGCTACAAAATAAAGACATCTTAATGAAAATCATTTAATTAATAAAAGAGCAATAAATAATTATACGATTTGAAATTCAGTTTCTGGTCCCCCACACCCTCCTTGGAGAGCTATACGGGCCATCAGCAAACGCTGCTGGTTCTATATAGCCCTCCCATATGCACCCCTCCCACCCCTTTGGAGTGCTATACGGGCAATCAGCAAACGCTTCATAACCCTCCCATATGCATGTTTTAGCCTAGGGCTATAACGGAAACGGCACAATAAGAAAAGAAGAGGAATGAAACAAAAATTGCAACAAAAGAAGAGGTGTAATGAATAATGAATAAACAGATGAAATAACATAAGAATATTGAAAGAGCTGTTTTTCTTTTTCATCCACTTTTCATTTACTAAAAAGTAGTTTTCATAAGATTTTCAGCAGACTTTCAACTTATTACAGGCTAGAATTATTGAGTTTTTCCATCCATTGAAAATAACTGCATATGTGCTATTTGTAAAAGCATAATATTTAGAGCACAGCTTATGTAATAACCTAACGCTGATAGAGAAGAGAAGCTCTAGAAGGGCGGCTATAAGGCAAATGGCAAAAGAATAACTGGGAGTTTACTGCAATTCCGGCACGCGAGCTGTTATTGTAACAGACCATGAGAGGGAGAGCTTGACGTTTGGATAACACAATCTTATTGATGAAGACTGACTCTATTTTTGGCACAAAATGAAACGCTTTGAGACTGGGAATTTTAACTCTAGTTTACCACCTACATAGATTACGCGAAACAAACTTGAAGTAAAGGAAAAGTCAGGCCTGAATCACCTGGAGGCTCCTTTTGCACGGGGTGTTCAATCAAATTTGTTATTCCTTCCAATGTCAGCTCAATGTCTTCCATTTGCTTATCTAAGTCATCGTATGTTTGATTTGGCAAGATACCTCGATCCCACCACTCAGCCTCGGGTGCCTCTCCTTCAAGCTCCTTCTTAGGGGTGACCATTGCCAACTTTGCAGCCGATGAAATACCTGTCTTCTTTGCAATTGATTGGATCTGTTTCTGCAGTTTTTCAAGCTGGGTCTATGTGTCAATAAAACAAACAAGGCAAATTCAGAATCATAGAAAATAAAGAACAATAAACAGTTTTACCAACTTCAAATCCGGGTTTTTTTCATTCAACTTTTAAAACAGGCAAAATTAAGCAAAGTTTTGAATTACAAGGGTGTGAATAATTATTGAAAATTATTTTATCAAAGTCAGATAGTTGTGATTGCAAAAGTCCTAACATGGGAGGGTAGAATATTAAGTGGGAGAAAAACTTAAATGTTATTGGTTTAAAGGGGGACTTATAAGGTGTGGGTGCGTTTAAAGGAGGACTTATTAGATGTAGCTGCGTGTTATGGGAATTTCAGCAAAGGTGTTTCAAAAACAGACAAAATTCTCTATGATCAATTTCTTTGCAAAAATTTCAATAAACGGCCAACAGACATCAATCTTGATGAAAAATGATCTATTGTTCTAACTGTTAAAACAGCAGCATAAAGTCAATTCTAATAGAAAAATGTAACAAAATGGAACAGAAGCTAAATTAGTCTTACAGGGTAAAGCATGTTAACTATGACCAGAGAAGAATGCTAAAAGATTCTGATACAGCTGCAGGGTACATTGAAAGAAACACCAATGGTAACATTTATAGCAAACGATTGATTGAAAAAGTTTCTGTCAAAGCTTTAAAGGTGCTCATTCAACAACAACTGAATAATGTTGTTAAATTGAGCAGATGCATCACTCAAGAAAACAGAGCCATGATTTTAGTTTGTAGCGTTACCTTGGCTCTCACTCTCTGCCCAAGCTTCTGAAATTTTCCAGCCTCGTGAAATTTAAATCCTTTTTTCGGTCTCTGAGATAATTTTGAATCACTGGAATAGAATTGAAAGTATATTTCAAGAACTTTTAAAATACTTTTGTGGCCCAGTTTAAATCGAAAAGAGGTTTAAATCCTTTAATCTAACGTTTTATAAATAACGTGGATTTCAGGCATCATAAAAATGATGGTTACAACAATTATGACTAACATTCTGTACCTAAACTGTTGGCACACCTGTATCAATTTAAATTGGTTTTCAAGCTATCAAATGTTGTTAGATATCAATATTCTATGGCTGCAAGTGAAAAAAAGGTTGAGATAGGTTTTTCATAGGTTAAGTGAAATTGCCTTTACTTAAGTACCGTAAATCTTCGAATTAGCCCCCTAGGGGCTTATTTATTTTTGATATTTTTGGATGGGCTTATTTGAGGGGAGGGCATATACGAAGGGGGCTTATACAGAGGGAGGCTTAAACGAGGGGGGGCTTATAAAATTATTGCAGACATTAAGAAGACATTATTAAAAGACCTTGTTTATTTTAGTAGAAATTTCTTTATGACCATTTAATTAATTATATACTACCAAAAGTATGAATTTGTTGTGGTATTTCAATAAAACGCCATAGGCAACCTCAGTTTGCAAAAATCATCAAATTGAGGGTTCCAATTTGAGAATTTACAGTAGCAGTGGGGGCTTATTCGAGATGGGGGGGCTTATTGACAATTTTTAGTTTTAGGGTTGGGGCTTGTTTGAGGGGGGGCTTTTTCGAGGGGGGGGGGCAATTCAAGGATTTACAGTAATCAACTTTCTTAAGGAAGGGAAATATGAATTCAGATGTATCATTGATGTCTTGAAACTTGAATTTGGGCATTGAAAATGGACATTTTCACAAATTTTTACAAAAATCTGAGGTGGTGCATGTGTGAGCCCCAAATTTGGTCCATTTGGCATGGAATGACCCAATTGCAAAGCGGGCTGCAATACAGGAAAATGTGTTTACATGGGCAATTACAAGGAGTTATGTGCCAACAATGAGTAAATCAGGATTCTTAATATAGTGAGGATTACTAGTAACCAGACTCTTGCAACATGTTTGATGTTGTGTACAAGGGAAGCACTCTTGGGGTGGTGTAACACTCCATGGAATCATGAGTCAGCTTGATATTTTTCTAATTCAGAACTATTCACTACTTACTCTACAACCTTGAGGCTAGTATAGCTCAAAAAAAACCTGAAACAGGGACACCTTTGTGAAATTTTCTAGCACCACCCTTGTTCACCTGTTCATATAGGCAGAAGTTTACACATTAATAATGGAATTGCAATTTCAAAAAACATCCTCTCCTATACAATGAAGAGTACTGTTGTACAAACAGATTAGCAACTCACATCTGGTACTTCTAAAATCAAAATATATATTTATACTTACCCAATTCGATCATCAAAATGTATACTTTCTTTGAAGTCTTCACTTGGTTTCTCAATTTTCAATTGTTCTCGTTTTCTTTCTCTGATATTAACTTTTAATGTTGGCATTCTCTGGACAAATTGAATTGCTCTTCCAGTGCTAGGATCTATAGTCCTTCCTTCCTCATCAAAGACAACAGCAGTAGGCTTAGTAAATGCAGACACATCTAAAGCACCAGGTAGATTCCCTTTGGCAGCCCCTAGCTGAAAAAACATAAAAATACCATGATCCATGAATATTAGCTTTAGGAACATCTAACCTGAAGATAAGGAAAACCCAAAACTGTAAATAGCATTTTTTATTATTAGATAAATATGTTTTCTCTTTGTTCAGCTTTCATAAACATTCAGCCTGTCATTGTACTGGTGCTTTATAAGTTGTTTAATTTGTAACAATTTTGGGCTTTCTCAAAACAAAAAGTTAAGGGATTTCTTATACATTGCTAACATAGTAATTGGAAGGTTGATCACCACAACAAACATAATCCTTAAATTAAAGTTAAGCTGTCATTCTTACGGAAAGGCTTAAATATGATATTTACCAGCCCTGGCTTTTTTGACAATTTCTCTTGAATGCGAGCCTGGAGATCAGCTGCTTCTTTTGCCTTGCGAGCTGCCTCGTTCATAAAGTATTGTTGGCTGCCTTCAGATGCATACTGGCTTGATCCAAAATTTGGGCCCAGACCAAGCCTCATTTGTAAATCTACAACAAAATTTGAAGGGAATTGCTGTTTACCAGTCTGTCATAAAGTGCTTGCTGCTATAAAGGCAAAAAAATCTAAGAAGAGCAACATAGAACTGTCTTGTTCTGTCATCAAAAGCCTATAACAAAATCTAGACACATATATTCAGAGACACAGACATCAGTTATTCCAAAGTAATCATTTATTCCAAATTGAAAAGGGTACAAATGTGAATTTGGCCCATTACTAGCATATACATGAAGCCATAGTGATCTTTCTTACTGAAAAGGCTGACTAAAAAAAGATGCACCTTTAAATCATTCCATTGATTAAATTAAAAAACCACTGAATGAATTATGAAGCAAAAATCACAACACCTAGCTGCCTTTTTCTTTCCTGTATTTGTTTCTTCATATTTGCAACCATTGCAGTCACTTGGGAGGCATCAATCACACCACCACCCTCCATTGGCTCTGGCAATGTTGGAGGCAATGGAGCATCATCTTGAAGGGCTTCTAATCTGTTGACTTTTTGCTTCTTCTTCTTTAAAGATTTCTCCAAACTTGAATCCTCATCATCTCCAAATACATCTTGGATAGTTCGTTTTTCTCTAGTGCCTTTGATCATGCCATCACTAAACTTATTCTTCCTATGATATTAATTGGGGAAATCAGCACAAAATTTATTACTGATAAGTCTCTATAAATTTAACTGTTCTCGTCACTTTTATTCTGAACAAGAACTTATTTATACTGGAAAATTTAGCTTTTCACTAGCCCCCCTTATCATAATGGTCCCATACATTTATGTCAAGTGCTTTATTTGTCACAAAATGATGCTTTATTGGTGCAATAAGATAATGAGTTGTAGCAAATTGGTAACCAAAAAGCAGGGACCAGCATAAAAGGTTTTAACAAAAAGACCTGGCAAGACCTTTCCTGCCTATTTATCAAGTATTCTTATGAAAATATCTTATGCACTGCAAAGGAACTATAGAGTGAAAAAATAAAAATTTGTCTGGTTTCTGATTTTGTTGTTTCCCTTCCTTTAGAGAGAGAAATGGGGATAAGCTTTGACAGGAGGCTGAAGTGCAAGACAAGACATTAGTGTGTAAACACAGTTTCATTCCACACAGGGAACTTAATGTGGTTTGGACTGTTTGGTTTGGACTGTTTGGTTGAGTCAAATTAGCAGAAACAGCAAAATATTGACACATTAATTTGCAGCCTGACTGTTCAAACACCATTAAATGTTTGGCATAGGCTAATTTCAACACGAAGTTTCAAAATTCATGACCCATTTTTGGCAAATGAAAGAAAAAGTATTGATAAACTGACAAAAAGCATTTGTACTCTATTCCCTCTTGTACTCCAGCCTTCTCTAATAATCCCCTCTCTTTAATAATTTAATGCTGCCTCTCTGATAATCCCGCAGCCTGGTTTAATGGAAGAAAGGAACAAATGCATTGGAGGTGCATAGAGTTTTGAACAATTTTGGAACATTCAGGGTAATTTTCTGTCACCTTCATTTGATGACAGTAAGGGTGATTAATGTTTTCGCCAATCTGGTTTTAACAAACTTTTGCCATCTATCATCACAATTTCATCCAATGTTCCTGCACCAAAATCCAGGGTGCATTCCGTGTTAGACCCACGCCAGAGAAATTTCAACCTATTCTAGTTGCTACGCCAAGAGTAAAACAATGCAATATGTTATCCTCAGCCGTACGCCAGGGTGGGTGTGGTCTTTTGGGCGTGGTCACGATATTAACATTTTGTTTTTCGAAATAAATTGTCATTTTGGCAAATTAGTTAAGTTCTTATGAAGAAATGTTCAACAAAACTTGGATTCTTAACAATGGAATAAACAGAATAAAGTTAAAAGTTTCAGTTGCATACTACGAAAATTGAGTCTAAAGATTTCCAAATTTAGGATTGTTTTTAGCATAAACATTAGCGTACCGTTTTTGCTACGCCGATCGCGAAAATTTATCACATACACCAATGCGCCAAGGCTCGCAAATAGCAAATTTAACGCCGCTACGCCGAGGAAAAAGCTAAGTCCACGTCGGAGATCTCCGGCGTAAACTACATGGAATGCACCCTGGACCAAATTACAGGAGAACTGTTTGAAAATTCAAGCCTGCTTTCTAAAAGCATATTAAAAAAATCCTGCCTATCTGATTATCCTGCCTTTTTTATTATCCTGGCTCTCTAGTTACTCTGCATTAAATTAGGAGGTTTAATCAATAAACCCATAGCGGGAATACAAGAGACAATACGGTATGTATGTTTCAAAATGTTTACTTTTTCAAAGCCATTTGTAAAAAATTGACATCCTAACTTGGAACTATGAGCTGATTAGAAATGGACAAACTGTAAACATCACTTTCCAAATTTTTTACACTACAAATAAGTACACACTGATTGATAACGAGGGCAAGAAATCACTTCACAGATAGGAACTTGTCTCCGCTCATATGCTGCCAAGAAGATTAGGTTACCTCCCAACGCCAAACGGTTCCCCAAAGATATACACAAACGCACAATATTGCAAGAAATAAGATCAGAGTCTTAGAATACCTTGCTCTCTCAACCTTGTTGAAAAGGTCCTCAACGAATCTTGGTGCTAAATCTTGGCCCAAAAGTGCAGATAACTGGTCCACTGTTTCCTGCCTGTCCAAATTCTGCGATAGACAAGAAAGTGAAGCTTTCATAACAGCCTTTTCCGGAAACCCAAGTCTCTGTGTAACAGTCTCAAGAATGAGGGGCTGCAGCTCTTCTTGTTCTCGCCTGCTCAAAGCCATTTTCTCAGGCAGTGTTTCAATCAAATAGCAACGAAGTCACGCCAAAGGCCTAAGATGTACAAAAAGTAGCAACTGCGCATGAGCAGATCTGCTCTAGGCAAACGAGCAGAAAGAATCACAGGGGACCGAAGGCTCAGAGAAATGATTGTTATCGTTGTTGAAGTTGTGATGGAATTAGATTCAAAATGGCGCGCAGCTGCGAGGATCTTACATCAAGTCAATCCGAGCCAGATAACAACCCTTTCTTGTTTTCAAATTTCCTGAAAAAGGAACCCAGTGAAGTTGAGACAGCACAAGTTTGGAAAACCTTCGACTCAAGTAACGAATCTGTCGATCAAGCACCATTTCCCGACCTGTGTTTGAATAAAAAAGGTATTGCGATCTTTGTATTTCCAATATTCTCGCTCATATTCTCTGTTCCGGGCAATTTTTTATCTTCGTATTTGCAATAAATGGATCATAGAATTGTATTTCTATCTTCAAGTTAGTCTGTGCCGAAAATTTAATGTTGTTTGGGCCCTGGGCCGTCAGACAGCGAATTGTCCTATTTTCAAGATTTAGCTTTTCCTATACATTCCAATGGAATTTGTTGCTGCAGTGAAATTTTTTGTAGTGAATTTGTTGCTGTAGTAAAATTCCGGTCAAATCTAAAGAAATATCTAAATATTCAAAACAAAGTAACTCAATATGTGGATAAGAATATTGATAGGAGAGGCAAAACTCTTTTTGTATATTCAGACACTTATGTTTATTTAGCTTTAAAGTATTTACTATCAAAATACAACAACTGGAAAAAATAAACAACTATTTTGAATTTCTGACAAGACGTTTTCCCACAAAAAGTAGTTTAGCTCTACAAAAGGGTTTTTTGTTTCAGTTGTCATGATGGTTTTTCAAATTTTCATTCTAGCATTGAAGAAGAAAACAAAATCAAATGGGAAAGATAAAAGGACCAAGGAAAATAAATCTGAAACAAAAAGAAGGGTTTTGAAGGTATTTTTATATTTTGATGCCTGACTGGAAGATACACCAGTCCTTTTTTGATGATAACTTTGATTTGCAAATTAAATTTGATTTGCAAATAATTAGTTGCAAGCTTCTAGCAAAATACTATCTCATGTTCAAAAGACTAATGTTCTTCATTTTGCATACCATATTTTTAGATTGTTGATGATGAAATTCAAACTGTTGATGATAAGGAAATTGATGAAATTTTAGAGCTCAATTCAAAGGTAAGTAAACAGTTTTCAATTTATCAAGCATAATTTGAAATGAAAAGTTGATCTGTACTGTCCTTGTATACTTGTTGCAAAATATTAAGAATATATGCCAATTCAAGCACATTTCACTGCAGTTATGCTCTTCAATTATCAGTTTGCTAGGCTCTGCTATCTCTGGTTTTAAAACTTTAGCTATCTATGTTTGTGTATACACTATTTTTTTGATAACAAGGCCTTCAGAACTAGAGCCCCCAATAATTGTCAAACTGTGTTATATTTCCTTTATAACAGTATACTGAATTGGGAACAAAACAATAGGTAGCCCCTAATATGAATTTGTTCATTCCAGCAGCACTGAATAAGTCTCAGGTTTCTTGTTTATCTGTTTAAGGGAAAGGATGGATTTCTTGAGACTATAACTGATGCAAATAATGACAGTGATATTAACCAGGACACTGACTCAGATGATTCATCTCCACTTGAAGCATCCTACATTCTCCCCACTAATCCTGATGTACAACCTCAAGAAAATAATTTCAACACAAAGCTAGAACAGGTAAGAAGCTTTCATAGATTGACATTTGCTTTCCTTCAATGACTTGCACTTTCAAATTTGTTCAAGAATTTGCCTGTCAATGTGAATTTTGGATGCATGACGCACCCCTTCAAAGATGGCAATTTTGTTGATTATTGGAAAACAATCATAGTTTTAGCTGATATGAGAATGTAAAATCAGCATTAGGCTATATATTCAATAATAGCATTCCTCTTGGAATGTATGCCAGAAGAACATGATGCAGATTAAAACACTGCCAGAAGAGTGCTTGGAATGCTTGGAATACTAAAACACTCCAAGTGCTTGGAATGTATGCCAGAAGAACAAAGAAATTATTTTGTTTTTTTAATTGTCTTATTCTTTCCACATCTTTTTTTAAGAACAATGTTTCAATTTTAATTGCAGTTAGAAAATGAGAACAAATCCCTTAAGGAAAAAGTCATGCTTTTAGAAAAAGAAGTTAATTCTGAGAGGGAAACATCAAAAAAGAGGTAGGTTGAAATTCCAGGACCATGTGACTTTCACCTGTTGAAATAGCCATGTTACACAGATAGGTATTATGTTTTCTTCAAATTTCACTCTATACTCAATTGTAACCATCATAATATTGTGAAACAATTTGATGAAAAAATTCTTCTTTTATTTGTGGGAACAACTTAAGAAAGATTTAAAACCAGAAATGTAGTTTAAAACCATTCAACCTACATTTAAAACAGTATGTTGGGCTTGCAAATATTGAATTCTTGAAACATTACAACTCCTGAGAATTGTGGTAAAATATATATCAAAAACTTTTTAATCTTTAGAATAAACAATTTAGTTGAGGAACTAAAAGCTGTCAAGAAAAGAGAGCTTGAAGAAACAGCTACTTTGGAAAATGTTGTGCAAATGGTAGAAGAGAACCTTCGACAGACAACAGTGAGTTACTGGTTCTATGAAAATACCAGTTTATTTCATTGTATTATTTTCCCAAAAGCAGATAAAAACTTTCTTAATTTTTAGCATTTATCAGTTGGGCAATAGATAAAGAGAAATGGCTTATTTTCCCAGAAAAAGAAGACGTTATCAAGAAACTATGCTCTTTTATATGTTGCTTGTGTTATCCTGTGTTCCTGTGTTGCTTGTATACAGTGGTGGAGCCAGTCACATGGTTCTAGGGCTGACTGATAAAGCAAAATATTTTTGGCTATCACAGCCAAGAGTTTGTCTTTCCCAAACCCGTCTGGCTTGGGAAACCCAATAACCTTTTAGTTCTGGAGTTTTTTGTTACGATTTTATGAATATTATTCGTCTTTAGATTTCCAGACTTGTCTCGAGAGTTGTGTCCTTGAGATTTTAACCTGACTGAAACACTTAAATTCAAGTATGATAATGTGAACATATTGCACAGCAGTATTTTTAATTGCAGCAACGTGCTCTAAAAGCAGAAGCAACCGTGTCGAAAATGAAAGAAGAAGTTAAATTTCTAAAGGTATTTTCACCTAATTATACTTGCATCCATTTTAGGTCATTGATTGTAACATTTAGTTATAAAACAAATGCTTAGGTCGTCAGATCTTTAAAGTGGTACCATTCTATGAAGACTGTTGTTCACTGGTGCTACAAAGTGTTCGATTCTGTATAGAACAAAACGGTTCTAAGTTGTGACTTCGAGTTTCAAAACTAATGCGATCATCAGGCAGTGTGGTTTCCATGTTTAGTTTGTTTAGTTTGTTACTGAAGATCATGCCATATTGATATTAAGCAATACTGTCATGAAAAAGGGGAAACCGCCTTAAAATTGTGAAGATTTCATGTTCCTTCTGAATGTTTTGGCAATAATTTTAAATCTGTTTTTCATGGATTTTTATTAAACAACATCTGTGAAGTCTTTATCTTTTTTTAACCTCTCCTTATATTCCCCGTTGATTGATTAGCAGAGACTTCTCTAATCCTTTGAATTGATTTAATTTTTCATCTAGGAAGAGACAATTTCAAAAACCAAACACCATCAAATAATTGAAGAATACGAATTCACCTTAAAATCGATACGAGAAAAAGCAAAAGATTCCTCGAAACTCATGCGAGTAGCAGCTGATAAAACAGAACCAATTTTAAAGTTAGTATCGTTTGTTTTTTCAAAATATCTACTGCATTAAGCTCTTTTGTCTTCGCTAAATGCCTTGAGTATTTACTGCTCGTTTCACTTCTTGGATACCTCAGGACAAAAGTTTTGCTAATTTTCTCTCAGAATATTAAAAGTTTTTATAACACCTATTGTCTTACTTATAGTATAAACGAAAATAGACATTTCATCGCTTGTAAATTATGCTAATCTATGCTTGCTTATGGACTCAACTCATTATTTTCTCAATGTATTATATCCCTTTTGCGCTTTTTTGTATCTTCTGTCCTTTGCGTTTCATGTACCTCTTGTTCACTTTGCCATACCATTTGCATATCACTTGCTAGTTTACCAATACACTCATTTTTCTTTATAAGAAACAAAGGTCGACGTTGAATACTCCAGTCTCTTAATGTTCTGGAAATTTCAATACTCATTGTTTCTTAAGAGTTTCTTAATTATGATGTCATGAATGATGTTATGAAATGTTCGTGACCTTTTTTATCACGTTAAAAGATTTGCTCCCGTTCCGATGCTGTATTTAGATGTGGGAATTATATTTTTATCCCTTGTGTCTTAAGTTCTAGGCCAATCGTTGTTCTCAGTTTTATCACGATTTAATAGATTCTTAATTTTTTTGCTTCGAGTACTGAAGTTTCTTAATTTTTTCTGAATGTCCAGTACTCATTTCTTTTAGCCAGTTTCTTATAAAAAAAAGAGTGTAGATGTTTTATAATCAATGATTATTTTGAATTTGATTTGTCTTTCGACAAGGTTTGATTTACAAATCAATATTTTCTATCAACAGAGAATTGCTGACTGGTATATCATCACTTCGTCTTTTTGCAGAACAGTTTGAGAGTATTGATAAAATAGCTGAAATAGATCCAACGAGGGATAGAGTTGTTTGAGTTTTAAATCCACGATAAAACAACTGTTTTAAATAAATTATTAGTAAGTTATGTATTTAGTTATGAACTGTAAATACATGACAGTGTAGGTAAAGTTTTAATATATCAACTAAAGTTCTGAATGCGAAATGTTGGTAAAGTATTAGCGAATCTTGCGTTAACAAATCCAGACAACAGTGAACTGTAATCTCAAATTTTATCATCTTCGATTTGATTAAGTACCATAAAGCAAAAATGATAGATAGCATATTAGGTTTTATTTTTATTACTTCACTGTATTGGCCCTTTTTGATTTTCAAAAGTAATTCGTAAGTTTAAAACATGATTTGTCAAGTAGATACAAGAGACAAAAGTACATCTTTCTTTAAGATAAACAAAACAAAAAATCGTGCCTTCCGCCTCAGATTCCACCGCTATAGCCATTAAATAGATTCATTATGAAGTCAGTTGCAAAGCTGCCCCCCTCCCCCTCCCTGAAATATCAGTAGCAATGTCCTTGCAAAAGCCATCTAAAATGTTGTTTTATAGCATTGGACAAATTCAGATAGAAGGGTAACGGAATTAGAGGGTAAAAGAACGATGTGTTGGTTTATTTTTAATAAAAATATTTTGTTAGTAGAATTGTCAGCAAAACGTATTTTAAAGTAGCATTAACATTATTATCGATAAGTTGTGTTGAACAATCTAATCTTACGTAAACTACTCACGTGAAGAAACCAAGTTGATAGAAACAAATTTACAAGCATCAGCAAGCTTGCCGAGACTTCTGCGAGCCAGACGTATTCCGAATGAAGTACAGTGGAAATGAACTTCACATTTTTGAATAATAAAATATTTTTGTTGCAGATAATTACTTTTTGATCAAGCGAGGTGCGTATAATCATTAGTCTGTTTGATAAAGCCGGACTCCTCTAAGAAGCTTTATCCCTGAAAAGTTGATTTGAATCCTAAATTTCTTGGTCTACCCCTGTCCCTGCTTGCCTTGAACTCATAGCGTTGATGAAATCACAGTTAATGTAAAAGCACTATTATAATCGTCTTTTCATAATAAAATTATCTTTGTCAATTTTGTTTCATTCCAAATATGTATATTTTTAGTAACTGATAAATGAGATAGATATTTATAGATAATAGTGTATGTTTTATGCCTGGTAAATCGCCAAAACCCTTGAAAACAGCAAATGTATTCGAAATCTTTCCCATAAAATACTCAATGTCAAGTGGGGAAAAAGGAGATCAAAAAACAGCTATGTTATGGATGATATGTAAAATTTATGAACGTGGCCAAGCCATAAAATAATGAAAATTAATATGGTATTGGTACCTCTTGAGGTTGCCAGAATATGCACCATTAAGAGGAGGACTCTGAGAAAACAAAGAATTAGTGGATGAAGTTGTTTGAAAAATACCCTGCGAGAACAAGAATAACAGGGGCAAAATAAGATGGGACAACTTCTATCAATTAACAGACCATTATGGCAAAATAGACGAATTGCACTTTTTAACATCTTATTCTTGCGCATATTCTAAGCTGCTTGAACTTTATCCGAAGAGGAAATTTAATTCAATCGTTATTTTCATGATGGTTTTTATAGAACAGAATTGGGATCGTAACTTTAAACTATATTCGATTCGCTCTTGTCGTTCGGCTGGCCGATTGCACTTTTGAGCATGCGCAAGATTTAGCATATTCTTTCACTGCGAGTGTCCGACCATTCACATTTGACGCCTATTCACCGATTCGAAAATTTCTTGTTCCGCCGATCCATTGATTCAGCGATAAAATTTCCCTAAGTGATCAAAATCACCAAGCAATCATTCGTTTGCTGCCCCGCATGGACACGACAAATCTGACGTCAAATAATCGAAAGGCATCACTGAAAATTTGCATCTTCAATCAGCCATTCTTGCCACTTATCCATCATTTAAAGTGTTGGAAATTCGCCAAAAATAAGTAGAGGCCTTGATTTTTATTTTTTTATATAAACCTTTCCTTGGCTTTCATTCTGTTAAACATTATATAACTTTGAGCCCCTAAACTGTATGCTCTAAGAAATAAGCTGGGACCCAAGCTTCTCGCTTGTTAATCAGTTTCAGTAATCGATAAATTTCTCTTTAATATGACGTCAAAAGACTACGCTTGAATCTAACCGTTTTCACTTGTTTACTCGCTTTCAATTATGGAAGCTAACGAGAAGTGACAGACATGTTTTCGAAGTATTTGCATCGCTCCACTGCGAGCACAAATCCAGATGGATTGAATGTGTGGAGCCTGCCAACCTTACATCGCGCAGCTTATAAGAACAAGATCGATAAATTGATCAGTCTTTTAAACAAAAGGCAAAATGGTATCGATAAGAAAGACAATGTAGGACGGTGAGTTTTTGTCATTGCATATATTGATTATCGAAAGAAAAATAGTCGAAGTATGAATTATAAAGAGAAGAAAAGTGAACAAGATATAATTTTTAATAACATCTTTTTGTAATTAATATGCTTCGGAAGATTTGTGACAAATATGATCTTTTATTAAGTTTATGTTGACATTTGGTCTTAATAAGTAAGTGTGTCCTGCGGGCTATTAAAAATAGAGAGAGATATGTATCTGGTTTATTACTTCAATTGTATTTAGTCACCGATCGCAACCATTAGCTCGAATGGAAGTGATAATTATGTAGCTTAGATATTCTTAAACGTAAAAATGAAAGTTTTTATTCTAATATTCTCAACATTTTAATCTTTAACAGCAATATGATATAGCAGTTAACTGGACTCTAGTTTAATTAAAAAAGGTCTTAAGTAAAGTAATAAATTTCTAATTTTGCACTGTTACGCTAAAAATATTCAAAGAGTCTCGCTTGTTCTGTTTAATGTCCTATTGTAACTGGTAAAGATAACTCAATTTGATACAAAATTTGATACGATATTTTGCACGCACATTTTACTTACACGAAACTCATTAGAACAACCTTTTCATTTATTACCTGTCTCAAATGGCTACTTATGTTGTTTGATATTCCAGAACTGCATTACACTATGGCTGCCTCGCAGGCAGTGTCCAAGTAGTGCAGCTCATCTTGGACAGAAAAGGAAAAATCATCGCTGACAATTTAGGCCAGAGTCCTGTCTTTATGGTGAGTTAGTTTATTTCTTGTCTTCAAAGAAGAGCAGTATTTTCAATCAGTGTTGCTTCCATTGGAAGGTAAGAGCAGCATTAAAATGCCTTTACATTTTAACAGGCAATCGGAAACGGACATCTGGAAATTGTCAAGATATTTTATGGAATCAAGTTTGATTTCAACAAAGCTGATAACAATGGAACGACACCCCTGCACCTTGCCATATTTAAGAAGAATGTGACGATTGTTGAGTTCCTGGTGAAGCAAGTGAATGTCAATGTTGATGCATCTGATATGGTATGTTCTTTGGCAAGCTATGTCTTCTTATCAAAGTTTTACTAGCATATTACAAGCCATAAAATTCATTAATTGTCAACAGAAAGAAGGAACTTATTGCAATATTAAAAAATCGACAATGAATTACTAGCCAACGACGATTTGTTTCTTGGTAAATATTGATGTACTGACTTTCATTTAAGTTCTGATAAACACCTTTTGATTTCAAATGCTCGAACTTTGTCATTTTTCCGACATTTTACAACTGCTGAACTCTTTTCTCCTAGCAATTGACCACCCCATTGCACCAGGCAATTCGAGCTGATATACCCATGGTGGTGTTACTGCTTGTGGAAAAAGGTGCCAAAACAGAGATCAGAGACAAAATTGGAAAGTGAGTGTCTCTTGTTCAAATAGTTAATTACGATTAATCGTTCATTCAATTGTCTTAGTACTTTAGAATTAATTATAAGGCAGAATCGAATTCTAACGATCTTACTCTTTCAAAAACATGAGTGTCTACACCAACCTACACAACGATAAAATCTCTTAAGCATTGCTACGTATATCACATAAAAAACTCATGCAGCTTAGTATTAAATGAAGAGAAATAATAATTTGACACCGAAAGCCCTTGTGTTTTGACACTAAATAATGTTTCAAAAAAAACAAAGGCAAATGACAATGAAGACCCAAAAGATTTTTAATTTCAAAGAAATAAAACTTAACCGACATATACTGTCAATGAATCAACAATCAATCATTTGTTTCAATTTATCGGCTTGGTTTCAAAGTCAAAAATTTGAGCGAAAGTTTAGCTGTTTACTGAATTGATGCACAAAAAATAAACTATATATTATATACAAAAATTGTATATTATGTATAAAAACTTTTTGTTATATATAAAATCTATATATTATATGTAAAAACTTATTACCTTTCCCTTTAGTTTCATCATAGCATGTGCTACCTTACGTTTTTAGCTAGTTGTTTAATCTAGGGAATGCTCTTTTTTGTTGGCTCATGTATATCATAGTATTCTTGACATTTATGAAATATATTATTCTATGAAAGAACTAAATAATTCAAACTCATAAATATTCATTAAATAATCGCTTTTCCAATCTTGTGATTTTCAATCTTGTCGATACCCAATAGAATCATTTAAACGTAACAGGATTGCCTGCACATTTTATTATCAATTGTAGAATTAATGTGCAAAAGATCATCAAACATGGCCTGTCAAGTTCAATTAGTACTTTGGCAAATTTACTTCACCTTATGAGTGTTGTTTAATGAACTGGTACTCAACAATTATATTATCTTACAAACAGAACGCCATTGATGATGGCTTGTGTGAAAGGACAAGAGCAATGTGTCGAGATTCTTCTGAAAAATAAAGCCAACATATACCGTAAAGGTAACAGCAGTGTTGTGGAGCAGATTGCCACCCAATTCGGACATCATAGGTAGCTAACTGTAGCTTTGATCCAAAATTCACTCTAGGAACAAACATTTCACTGTTGATCTTTAAAAATGGTAGCTTGTATTAGATGCCTAAATTTAAACACTTAAGATTCATTTGAAGTTCTACAGGACTTGTTTCTGTCACTCATGCCTCTTAAAAATGGTTACTATTATGTAAGACAAGCTGACTAGAAGCCTATTCGCTGAAATCAGTTTTACTTTGGAGCCATTGATTTTGGAACTATCTTTGATTTCTAGAATCTATACCATGGTCAAGAAATTCAGGTTGGCATCAGACGGAAAAGTTCGACAAAAATCTAGAGGTTTGCAAATTCAAAATTTTAAGAAACATTTTTTACGACTATTCATATTATTTGTCTACTTTTATCATCAAAAATGTAATATTTATCTTTATAATAAATTTTTAGAGGTTCAAATTGAAAGTCACTCAGAGGCTCAAAAAAACAGTAAAGGGAGCGGTTCAATTCCTGATAAGCCACTTGATTCTGGCTTGGGAATGCTTTCATCGAGTGGACAAATGACCCGAAGTAACCAGCTTTGCAATGCAGCAAGCATTGAAGCCCCAGAATTTGTCAAAATGCAATTCTCAGCTGGTGAGTCCTTTAGAACCCTTGCAGACAATCTAAACTTAAATAATTGCTCGATACTTCAAAGAATACGAAAGAAAGAATTTTCCTTTAGCTAAAGTTGCACTTATATAATTCATAACAAAAAAGAGTGAGCTTTTTTATCGACAACTTATGATCTTTGGTGAAAATACACATATTTATAAAAACACTGTTTCGTAAAATATGTATTTTCTGATTATCTATCGCCGTATACTATCAGAAACCCAATCTTCTGTGGAATTGGACACAACCATCTCCAAGCATCAACAAAAGATCCTCTCTGCAGAAGTGACATCATCATTGGCCAATAACACAGTGCCATACCCAAAAGAGCCAACATCACAAAATCAGCCCGTGGCACAGCGGGACCAAGATGTACCAGAATTCAGTTCCAATGACATAGTTGTCACCTTTAGTGGTTGTTCCATTGGTATGTTTTCAAAAAAAATTTTAACCAAACGCTTTACTTCTGAAATTGTCTTTCCTTTCAGAGTTAATAAGGTTTTCTGTCTATAAAATTTCTTTGTTTTATCTTAATGAATCACTATTTTTCAAGCAGAATCCCTATCTTCAGTGGAATCGGAGACCGCCGTCTCCCATCATCAACCAGCGATCCTCCCTGCCAAAGTGACATCTTCAATGGTCAAAAACATCGTGCCAAACACAAAAGAGCCAACAGCAACCGCTGATATCGACACCCTATCACCAGATCAGCCCATGGCTCAGTTGAACAAAGATGTACCAGAACTTGGTTCCAATGACATAGTTGTCAGTTTTAGTGAATGTTCCATTGGTATGTTTTCAAATCAATTTATATCAATTGTTTATTTCTCAAATTGTTTTTCCTTTCCGAGTTAAGAAGACTTTCTGTTGATAAAATTTCTTTGTTTTGTCTTATGAATCACTATTTTTCAACCAGAATCCCTATCTTCAGTGGAATCGGAGACCCCCGTCTCCCATCATCAACCAGCGATCCTCCCTGCCAAAGTGACATCTTCAATGGTCAATAACATCGTGCCAAACACAAAAGAGCCAACAGCAACCGCTGATATCGACACCCTATCACCAGATCAGCCCATGGCTCAGTTGAACAAAGATGTACCAGAACTTGGTTCCAATGACATAGTTGTCAGTTTTGTACGGAAATGTGCCGCACACAAATCGCTAAACTCTAAGATTCGCCATCTTGTCTCGTGCTCTCGAAGATCTAACTAAAAATAACTGAAACTCGGTCCCAGTTCTCTACTGTCCTAAACTGTCCTAAAATGTCCACTACTAATCAACATAACGAATGATAATAATAAAGTACCGTACACAAACTCCCCTAAAATTTGAGTAAAGTAACATACTTGAGTCAAATTTTATCAAACCTTTACGGTACGCAGTTGTCCTCTTCAATCTTCTTCCAAACAAAGTCTCGTCTTCACTTCTGCATCCACCGCAGCTCTTCTCTTCTCTCTTGTTGTCACATTGGCCTTGGCATCGATTGCTCCGTTGATTGTTTCAACTGTTATCACATTGACTTTGTCATCAGTTGCTCCTTTGATTGTTTCCACTGTCTGTGACTCCTTCGCTTGACAACCAATCTCCAATGGACAGATAGCTTGAACCGGTCGCTCTATGAGATGTCCTTTGTGTCTCAAAAGCACTCCCCTGACTACGTCGTCTCTTCCTTTCACAAGCTCTTCTACTCTCGCTTTCTTCCACTGCCCTTTATTTCTTTCATCACCAACAACTAGTACTACTTCTCCGATCCGTGGCAGACATGCACTCTTCTTTCTGTTAATACGATGCACTTCCATTAAACTGTTGATATACTCTTTGTTCTAACGTGACCACACGTGCTCTTTCGCATTCTTCAATCTCTTATACATCTTGGTCACTCTTTCTTCGTCTACCTCCACATCTTCAAATGTATGTGAATCCTTCCCCCACATGATTTTGTTAGGTGTTAGCACTTGCTCCTCCCCACTTTCACTTTCTACATATGTCAATGGCCTGTTATTCAAATGCCTCTCTATGTCCATGATGACTGCTTCCAGTTGTTCAAATTGCAAATGCGTTTTTCCAAGGGTTTTGTACAATGTCTTCTTTAAATCCTTAATTAATCTTTCATACATCGCCCCCCACCAGGGACTTTTCGACAAGTTGAACCTCCAAGTGATGCCTAGAGTTGCCAAATGGTCTTGCAATTTTTCACTTTTTCGTATCAATTTTATCCACTCAGCTGTTGTCTTGAAAACACTTGCGTTGTCAGAGACTATGACCTCTGGTCTCATTTTCCTTGTAATGAACGCATTTAACTTCCTCTGAAATTCTTCAGCAGTTTGTGACCTTGTTACCTCTAAATGAACTGCTCTCATCACAGCACAAGTGAAAATAATCACGTAAACTTTGATCTCTTCTTTGCTTGTACTCCCCCTGCACTTGAGAGGCCCGGCAAAGTCAACACCTGTGTTCTGGAATGGCAGGCTCTGAACTGTACGAAACATTGGGAGCGCAGCTGTTGCTGGTGCTTCAAATGGTTTTGCAGAAAATACTTTGCACACATTGCAATTCCTGATTTCTCTCTTGACCAATGTTCTCATCTTTGGTATCCACCATGTCTCTCTCAGTGCTCCCATTGTATTTGCTACTCCCATATGCATAACTTTCCTGTGTGTGTGTCGAATCAGTTTCTCAGTAAAGAGACTCTTCTCCAATTAGATTGGTTGATACCCTTGAATCCTTCCCTGGCATCGAAGCATACCTGTTTTCTCGTCTCTTATCAATTTCCATCCAGGTGTTTCTTTCATCTCTATAATGTATCTTTGTTCTCTTACTACCCAATGATCTCTTGCACTCATAATTTCCTCTGTGGTCAGAGGTCCTCTTGTTACCTTCTCCTTTCTCTTCTTGGCAAGACAATTTTTGATAAATCTCAAACACCATGATGTGGTTCTAAGTGTTCTCCAATAGCTTTGACGCTCTAAAAGCTTATCCCATTCATCACTCTCTGTCTCGTTTGTGAATAAGATTGCCTCTTTAATTGGTCTTTGTTCTTCCAAGTTTCTTGTTGAACTCTTCAGCACTGGTTGTTCTGGCCATTCTTCTTCATTTGGCAGCCAGTCTGGCCCTTCAAACCACTTCTTTTCTACCATTTTCTCTATGTTCGCACCCCGACTGCCTAGGTCTGCTAAATTTTCACTTGATGGGCAGTATTTCCACTCTATTCCAATTTCATTCCCTATCTCTGTAATCTTTCTCACCCTGTTCGCTACAAATGCTTTCCATTGTTTCCCTGGATTGTTTATCCAAAATAAGGCCACCATAC